TACTTTTATCCTAATCGATTCATCTCAAAACTTATTATCCTCCTTCCAAAATCCTGTATGTTTTCTTTCACATCAAGATTTCCTATAATGTCCCGACACCTAAGTTCACTTGTAAGCAAATTACATAGCGAGACCGCGAGAGGCTTGGCTCATTGACCCCTGAAAAAACTAAATTCTTTTTGTCTCGCAACACTACCTCAATCCTTAGATCCCATCTATTTCTATCCCTCAATTGATGAAATGGTAGAATGTCTTTCCTCCAATCTTCTCCCATTCCTGAATCAACACGCACTACTTAAGACCTATACCTTCAGACGACTTCCTGCTCCCTGGATTAATCATGAAATCAAAAAGCTGGTGAAGAGAAGAGACATTGAAGATGGCTCTTCAAACACTCGTGTAATCTAGATGATTACTTGTCTTTCATTGCCTTTCAAAACTTAACCCAATCTTCCTTGCGATATGCTAAGACACAATTCTTCCATATTTCCTTAACACAAGCACCGAATCTTAAGTCGAGATGGAAAATCTCTTAAAAGTCAAAAACCTGTACCTCCTATACAGCTTCTCCTGATCATCTGAATTCCACCTTTTCCGACTCTGTATCGATACCGTTCTTCTCGTCATACTACTTTCCGAAAACTTCCTTTGACCCTACAATTTTTTATTTTACAAATGTCTCACCAGCATACCTGTTTCCCTTATTCCCTGATTTCCTCATATCCAGAACGAATGACTATCTAATTTCAGTTAAATTATTCAAACAATGTCTCCCTGCCATCTTTACTGTTCTACTACATATTTACAATTTTTCCCTACAAAATTCAGCTTAGAAAAAGTTATAGTCCGCCCATTGAGCAACGTTCCGGTTACCTCCAAAATTTCCGATTTCATACCCATCTCTATTCTCGTCAACCTTTCAAAACCTCTCGAAAGACTAGTCCATTCACAGCTTAATAACTTTTTTTTTTTTTTGTTCTTCTTCCCTACCTCGCCTTTTAGGCTATACGGGATTTTCCCGGGCCGGGGGATGAGGGCGGGGATATTTAAAATCCCCTCCGGCACCGGGACGCGAACTCGTACTTTTTATATCATCTCAAATCTCTGTTATCCGGTTGCCAGGGAATTAGCGGTGCTGTTACACAAGCTTTAGCCTATTCGGCCACCCCGCCCCCCACAGCTTAATAACTTCCTTGATCAAAAAGTTCTCCTCATTCCCGTCCAGTCTGGTTTCCGATCCTAGTTCTCCACCCAATCTGCTTTATTGAAAATCATCCAAGGCCTTTAATTCTTCATAGATAAGCAAAAAATCTCTACCCTGATCCTCCTTGATTTTTCTATGTCACTCCTGGTTTCCTCACATTGATTATGACTGACTTGTATAAGGTGGACTGTCAAGTGGGCTTGAGATCCGATTAAAAATATTAAGGAATCGTTGCATTGGATTCGCCTTTGGAGTCTCCAGGCGCTATCACGTCTCCAGTTGGTATGCCAAGCTGAAGGGCTCCTTCCAGTTTTCCGACGGAAATATTTCCTAGGCCTATTCCTTTTATAGAAGGAACATATTATTCCATTTCATAGAACTGTTTTCTTTAAAAAATCGTTTGTGCTACGTTTTTTTGGATTCCTTACCTAGCTTCATAGGCAAATCTTCTTCCTTAACCTTGTTTAAACAGCACGTATTCTTTCACCTCCAGCATTCATTCTTTCCAATATATGTCAAAATAAAATTTTCGTATTTATAGCTGTCACCTAACTGTTATCTTATAGATACTTATATATTATCAATATTTTTAATAATTACAACTATGTATACACACTCTTAAGAGGACCCTACACGGTCAATCGGAATTGCACTAATGACGTTCCGAATTGTGTAAGGAAGTGAATGAAGTACTGATGGTGGTGCGCTGCGGATTTCCGAACATCCGGAAATCAAAGGTTCATTCACGAGAAGTGGAGGGGGGGCTGAGGTAAAAGTAGTGGGGAGACTAACCATACTGCTGGATAGGTTAGGTTACCTAGCCCTCACAATCATTATAAATTTCTGATTTTCATTATATGTAAATAGTTAAATAATTTTTCATATCCCTTGTTTATAATTTTAAACCATTTTCAACTATTTCTTTTAAATAGTCAAGTGGGCAACAAATTAAAAAAAAAAAAAAAAAAATAGAGGAAACTTCACAATTTACTTTAGGAAAAAAAAAAACTTTAACGTTGTGTATATTTATCAGTTCTTTTCCCATTTTCCTCAATAAATTTATTATTTGCGCAATACCTTCCTTAATTTTTGTAAGTAGTAGACTTATATTTTACTAACTTTTGTCAAAACGATTTTCTATGAGACTAACGTTACTATTAGATAGGTTAGTTTACCTAGGTCTCGTTATTAAGTAAATAATTGCATAAAAGTAAATAGTTGTTTATATCCCTAGTCTATATTATTATTAACCATTTTCAACTATATTTTCTTTAAATAGTCAAGTAGGCAATAAATTAGAGAGAAAAAAAAGTGGAAACTTCACATAAGTAATGATCAGTAATGATTGAACGTGTCTTCCTGATCAAAGCGATAGCGGGCAATCTTGGAACTTCTTGTGACGTTCATTCATGAATTACCGTGTAGGGTCTGCTATATATATATGCATCTACTTGTGCTTTGTTATTTTAATTTTAAGGTTAGGTTATTACCTTACTTAATTATTTATTAACTTTTTTATAATGTCAGGCAAATGCCATTTTTCTGTTCATTATAATTAATTTTATGGGATTAAATGTATCAGAATAAAATTTAATTTTCTTTCTTTTTCTGCACTTAATGTGGATTGTTCCATTCCCCTTCTAGTTCCCCCCTGGTTTAAAACATTTATTCCAAAAATTCATAACTCATTCAAAATGTTCCTCTTCAAAAATCCCCTTAAGTTAGGCCCCCATCAAAAATTGTGTGGCATAAAACTCCTTTCTGGGCACTCCAGATTTATTAATATGTACAAATAGTGGCGGATAATTTATATAGTATTTAGTATATCGGTCAGTGAATACAAAACGTTATAAGTGCATTTTTGACATAGCCTAACTTTCAAGTGTATTGTTTGTTAATTTCGACCTTATCTATTAAAAATAAATGCATGAAAATGACAAAAACCGATTCCACTATATGAACATTTTTCGTATTTCAGAAAAGGGGAAATTCATCAAACTTCTTAATTATTCACTTCATGACTTTTTACAATAAAAGGACGACATAACCATTAATAAAATATTAATCTTTACAATTCAGCAATATAATCGATAATAACAGATTTTATATTCAGTATAAAACCACCAATACCTACAGCTAAAATCATGAAGTTATAATACAGTATGCTGTAGGCGTTTGTAGCGTGCCATAGATCGAATCTGTGTATTTCTTCATAAATTAATTGATTCACTCCATTGTGTTATAACGTTATTGTCGAAGTAAATTCATCAACCCTTGAAAGGACAAAAATCGCCTTTCTAGGAAAGGATCGACCCGAAGCCCCCGCCGGGACCATTACGAGAGGCGAAAGGATCAACCCTGAAATGTGTTAGTGCAGTATGGAGTTGGTGATTGATCACTGGCACCTCGGCAGCTCAGTCAATATCGACCCTATTCTGCCTCAGGCATTAGCCTACGGTCCGCTGTCTACCTCGTACAGCTCCGTCACATCCGCCCTTACAAGCTGGCAATAATGTTCAATGCATCTCAACATCGTTGTATAAGAATGGATATCTTGTCGTATTGGGTCTGATAATAGTGGGGAAAACAATTCCGGCTTACTAGTCTTTTTTCCAACCCCAAGAAAACCAATGGAGAATTATTTTTCCGCAATGTCGAACCCTCTCAATGTCTTCTTTCAGTTTGTCTAGTGTTGCTGAGTTCTGTTGGAGCCGAGGAGATATATCTCTGTAACACATATCAATCTTAATCTACTATTTTTTAAAGTGTAGGCTTCGTTGCTTTCAAATGGTTATGTTACCCATCACTCCAAATGTCATAAGATGTTTTTTAAGTCTGCAGAGGCCAGTCAGAACTCCTATATTATGTTGAAATTATTTCTACTTTTCTCGCGTTATCTTCGTTCTAGAATCTACACTATATATGTGGCATCTGTGTATAGTCTGTTAAGTGCAATTTTAGGGAACTCTTGAAATTGAAGAGCTTACTATCTAAGTAGATATTAATGCGTTACCCATAGCTTAGCTGATAACTTCCGAATATGTGGCTGTAGACGATAAAGTAACAGGGACGCATCGGACAGCAAGAAAAATTTATTTTTTTACATGAAATAAAACGAATGATTGCTTTAGATCTCATTAAGATCGTACCTCCTAAAAACGTGGCACTCATGTGATGAAATAGCATCACCACCAGTATTCAGTATTACTAGAAAGGTTATAAATCTAGAATAACCTCGCTTCACTCCAAGTTTTGAGTATTAATATCTCCACTAATTAGGATTTGTATGTCTACTTTTTTCAGCAAAGTATGAAAATCTACGTTTGTATCGCCTTGGGTTCAAATCTCATGTATATATTTTAAAATATTTTCGATTTCAGTATTTATATGAGTCATTAAATAACAATAATAATAATAATAATAAAATAATCTTGTCCACAAAAATGTTAAATCGTTGCTACATATATTCATTAAAATTGTTTTCTGAATAGGTAAACAAAGATTCTCTGAAACGTACAAATTAAAATTAATAAAGAATAATTCACAAATTGAGAGAGATTATTTATTGAATTGGACCTATAGGCGAAAAATGATGTGAATATAATTATTGAAAAAATGTCAAAACTAAAATATATGATATTAATAAATATTCAAATTTTTAATGAAAAAAAAAAAAGTGTTTGTTATTTATTTCATTACATCAGTGGATGTCAGAAAACAGTTTTAAATATACGAAGTTGTATGCCCATTGATTTAAAATTCAAAACCTGACATGCATCGACCAGAACTTCACATATGTTCGTTATTACTCTTCTCCATATGATAGACACGACACAATATGAATACACACAAATGAATATATACACACAAATGCATTTCTAACAAATATTTACCATAACAAATCACTTCAAAATGGATGGTCTACTAGAATTTGCCGCCAAGTATTGTAAGTACAATCAGCTCTGCAACCATGTTTTTGAGAACTCTCGAAATAAAAATGAGAAAAGACCGTTAGCTAATTTTTAATCGCATTTTCGTTCAGGCTAGCACAATATTTTATTTTTCTTCCAACACTGTTCAAAATATAGATAATACGTCTACTCCTGGCCAGCAATACACCAAAATTCGATATTAAGTCTGGATGGTTCCTTTTGATAACAGTATAATATTACCTCATCATAATTGAATGTCATCATTGGTTGTTAAGAGCAAAATATGTATGTATGTCTCATATTGACGGATTCAAATCAATACATATAACTTAAATGTTATGTATTTTTGTACTGGATACGCCTCAATACACATGTTTTTACAAGAATTTAAGACTCGATTACATCCCTGATCAAAGATATGGCATTTAATTCTTTCAATATTTCGTATTGTGTTTTAAAATAAAAATTAACCTTCACATACCTCTTAAGTTGGAACAGTATGCTTATTTTGAAATGATTAGTTTTGGACCCATCGTCTCAACCCCATTTTGTACAAAGAATGGTCGTGATGCTTTTTAATTTGATTTTCTAATGAACTTCAGTAATATGCATGGGTACCCACAAGAGGGTTTCATGGCACAAGTTGTGCCATCAACATTTTTAAGGGGGACACATTTTGATGAGGTTTTGGAATTTTGAGGGGTACAGATTATGGGGTTCGAAATGAAGTCCTCCGGAACCGTCATCCGGTTTATCATGGTTGTGGGGCATCGCGTATTTTAATATACGCCTTAATCTCCGCCATCCCCACACCCCAGGTATCCTTTTCAGTTAAAATCGGGCCTCAATCAGCTTTAATTACATCGCTGCTCTCGACTTCCACTCGCAAATAAGGCATAATTAATGGGCCAACGAGTCCTTTTCTATTGAGGTCACTTGAGAGTCCGGGCACCTCTCTCTATTTCCGGAAACACTCAGCCATTGTCTGGATCCCATCACCAGCATATCAGCATATAATATTTTGTTTCCACTTAACATGGAGGAGTGACACCTGTAAAGTAATATTCCATTTTTTATCTCATTCTCTCGAATAACCAAAACTCTCAATGACACTGATGGAATCTCCGAAAAACTACATGAACTGCCAAAGCCTCGCGTGAGTGAGCGACGGCGGTCGGTCGCAATGCATGTGATAGCGAAATTAAATAGGGTTTCCTACACCTAGACTCTAATTGGCTAGATGATGGTGATGAACGTTAAATCGGTTAATGAAAAAAATCAAACATAAGTTACATGTCCGAATAGACCTTCCAAAATTTAATTAAGATCCCAGCTGTATTTCATTCTCAAATCGGTTGAAAGCCGTTACTGTCTATAAGAAAAATTAAATTAAAGTGGCGAAATTAGACCTTTAATTTAACGGAAGAACTGATGGCTGATATTTCGATATGATGTAAAGAATGTCTCCTTAAAATAGAATTCCCCTGGCTGACAATGTACTCGGTTACGTTTTGAAAACTAATGGCGTTAAAATCATCAAATTATTCTAATCAAATGATAATTATATGTGTAAAGAAGTCAAATAGTCGGTCTCTCTTTGGTTTTTTATGTTATCAAGGATGCTGAATCCTCATTTGAAGCTCCAAAACGAATTTTTTCATTCTGTTCTGAGATATATGCATTCTTCTGTTAAATGAAACATAAAATTTCCCCCACTTCCCATTTTCGTGGGAAAAGCAATCTTCCATATTACAAAATAACTTTTTATCCTTTAATATCCAACTTGATTAACTTTTGTAATAAATAAATCATACAATCCATTTAGTTATACGTAAAGATTATTAAGTGAAATGTGAAAAAATTGAATTAAGTTCCTAAGTGGTGGTTCATTTGAAAAAGGTATATAGTTTCAAAGTGATCCATCCCTATTAAAAATTTTACTTATTGTTAAAATACCTGAACAGCTCTCTAAGCCAATATGAAAACAAGGAATATAAATAAAAAAATTAAAATCAAGTGATTCTGAACATCTTGAAATAATTATTTCTATAGAGATTATTTTACATTTTCCAAATTTCAAATTATGTCTTTTAAGCAATATCTGGTTTTCTAAAGAAATTAGTTCCTATTAAAACAATGTAAAATGTGATGCAAAAACTATTGTTTTAAATATCATCTTCCTCAAAAATAATAATATATAGTTCAAACAATTTTTTATTTTGACACATATTTGCATAATAAAAATTTTCCATTTACCAAACAAATTTTTTTCATATTTATTTTTACAGAAAATATTTTTTTTCAGTTTTATTTTCAAACTTCACCCATTAATTACATTTATTAACAATCAGGAGATGCACTGGCTGAATAATGAAAGCAGAAAATAACTTATTCTTGTTCTTTTAATTATAAATAAATTAAATTCTAATTTTTACCAAACAGAGATAAAGTGCCAGCATTTTGTGAATGGTGGTGCAAAAGATTACCAGACAAATATTTGTTGATATCTTTAGTTATCTCATCCATGAGTTGAAATTCTGCAGACATTAAATTTGTTATTTTAGAAAAATGACTCATTACTGAATCATGAGTGATAGATATTATTATAATATAATCATATAAACTTGTTTGGTAACAATTTGATTATTTTTATGAATAATCATTCTTACCTCTGTAATCCTACCTGCTGCTTTAGTTTGTCATTATAAACCAATATGGCGTTTATAACTCAATAATTCTTATTCATACAAATTATGAATATTTATATCTGCATTATTATTCAGCTAAGTTCATAAAAATGCTCAGAAGAATTTGTAATAGCTTAAACCTAAAGTTGTGAAGATATCAAGGAGTTATTTTAATAAAATTAGATTTTTTTTATTACTTGCTCGCCCAAAGCTTTTTACACTCTTATAATATTTTGTTAATTTCATACAGTTCCTGAGTTAGAAAAAATCGCTGAAGCTGGAGATGGAGCAGGCCGTGAAGATGATTTGTTGAAGGTGCTGCAGTCACTGAAAACAAAAAAGGAAAAGAAACCCACTTTACAAAAAAAACAAAAGAAAACACACGAGGGAAGTGGACCTCATTTCTATAGGCATCCCCCAAGACCTATCCTACATCCAAAATGGTACCCACAGCCCAAGTGTGCTCACATGCAAGTAATGACCAGTTTATATATTATATCTGTTAGGTGTGATAAAAATTCAAATGTTAAAATACCCGTTTTATATAAGAGCAACTTGGAAATTTGATGATTTTACAACCCTCAGTATACATTTAAGTTTAACGTACATATCAACAGAATTAAAAACATATGAAAGGGTTAGAATAACAGAAAATTAGCTCAATTTTGCTTTTTTCCTTTAGGTTTATATCTTGTAAATTTACTTTAATGGTATTAATTTGTTCTACTTTCAATTTAACGCTCTCCTATATATAGATCTCCTATATTATAGAGAAAGGCAAGTTATGATGTTTCATTTCGACTAACCCTCATCTCCAAAATCTGACATTAATGTGGGTCTAAAAATTAATATATTCACTTCCTTCAGCTTTCCCTGATTCTATTCTATCTATCTATACTGGCTTCACAACCCACTTAGCGAGTCATGGCCTCCTCTAACAGCATCTGCCAGGTGTCCCTACTTTGTGCTGCCACCATCCAGTATCGAACTCCAACATTCCTGGCATCTTTGACCACGCATTCCCTCCATCTTAACCTACTTGTCACGCTCCATGCAGGATTTCAAACAACACCTTTTTTGGGATCATGTCGTCTCCCATTCTGGCCACATGGCCTGCCCATCTGGGACGGCCTGCTCTTATAAAATTAGAGCTCTGATTCTATTAGAATTTAGCTTTCTAACGTTTATTAACTGATGCAGTTTTAATTATCATCATTATCAAGTTTTTTTTTTTTTTAATAAGATTTTGCATAAAATCTTAAGGCTATAAAAAAAGTTTTTTTTATTTATGATACATGTACTGTTCAAGGAAATAATATATGCCATATATTCCAATGGATAATTATGATTTTTTTTTTTTGTTTTCTTAGGAATACTTTATACCAAAGAAGGCGGCTTTGCCTCATCCAGAAAGGTAATAATGTTTTATTATAACAAATAGAAGAGCAATTACAAATTAATTTTATTTATTTATGAGTATTTATTTGATTCAAGTTAAATATGATTAATAATTTTTAAAAGAACTTCATAAACAGTTGTTTGTCTAATGAATGACATTCATATTGAAAATGGTACAACTGTATTTCTAGTTGTAAGATGCCCTATCAGAAAGGACTTTCTCTTAAGACTAAGGGGACCAGTCTTCTGTATCAAGAAGCAAAATAACTCACCTGTACCTATCCCAACTAGAAAGCATCTGCCTGTCTTTGGCTTTAACACCAAAAAAAACATAACCAATTTTACTATTTGAGCATTGATTATTTTTTATTCTTTCATATTTAAAAAAAATATGCAATGCTTATTAAAAAGAAATGAAATTTTTAGCAATTGTTTTTAATAGTTTCTGTGGAAATTAAAAAGAAAAAAAAAGATATAATGGCAAAAATATCAACAACAAATAAAAACAAATTTCTGAACAATTGGTTAATATTAACTAGTTGTTTTTTAATATTTTGAAAGGCAATAATTATAATAAAAAGAATTTTAAAAAATATTCCCCTCCTTTGAATTAACTTACCCTTTTCTTAAGTAATTACAAACCTTTTGGGTAAGTTCTTGTACTGGGCTACTGTAAACCTTGCCACAAGGCCCAACACTCAGTCCATAATTGTAAATCACACACAGTGAATCTTTCCGCTGCGGATACTTCCTTATAATATTCAGTTTTATAATCCCCTTCTGATTTCAGTAATTTAAGAGTATAAATAAATTAATAAAAGTAAAGTAAATAGTAAATGACTTTTGCTTAAGGCTTTTAATGGAAAAGTTTCTTCATGAAGGATAGCAAGGTGCCAGTGAGGCTCACATTATGATAACATTAATCCAACTGATTCTAGGTAATTTGAAATTGTAATTCTATTTACGAAACAAGTTTACGCTTTATATGAGCACTTTTATTATAAAAAATTTATTATTTCTCATACAAATATATTTAAATTATAAATTTAAAAATAAAAATTGGTTATAAATGAATAAGCAATTTCATGTTCATGATATATGACTTTTTTTACTTCCAATTTTCCTAAAATAAACATTCGCTGAAAATTGAACTAACATGATTCTCTCTTGGTGTCCGCTATTAAGAAGTTTTACTGTTAAATATTAATACTACATTTAGCAAGATACTTTGAACAAATTTTATAATGTTGTTTAGAAATTAATATATAATTTATGTCAAAATATTTCTGAATTGCTAATTATAGTTAATATTGCCGAATTTAATTCTAAACTTGTAATAAGATCAATAAATTATTCATTTTTAATAAAAGAATTCAAATTACTCATAAGATTTCTCAGTCTAATGAAATAAACATTTGTTATATCTATGTTTATTTTCAGGATAATTATTCATATATTGTTCAAATTTATATTATACTTATATATTTATATTATACATCATGTTATTAGAATCATTATTATAAATCATATTGATTCTTCTTATTAAAAGAATTGATATTATTACTTTTTTAATTATCATTGAGAGCTTCCACTCAATATATTAAATGAGTTCATTAAATGTTATTAGTAAATTAACAAAAAGGTTAACAATTTTCTAATGTCTCTTTTAATAATTTTCTAGGTTTAAGCGCAAACACCCACTAGTCAGACCGAGCCAACTCAAAACTGGAACTGTCATTAATAATGTCTCAAATGCATTAGAAAAGTTTAAAAGGAAGAGAGATAAATTTTTAATATATCTACAGCAACTTCAAGATGAGCTTACAGGTGCATTGTTTGTTAAATTGAAATATAAATTCAATAGACAAACTGAGTAACAATAATAATGAGAATTAGAAATGTTTCTAATATCCTAGTTTCTCAATTCTCGAAAATGGTTCTGAAGCATGACCTGTACTTTTAATTTTTTAAATTAATTATTTTTATCTTTCAGAACTTAACCTTCCCAGTATATCAAAAGAAGACATGATACCAAAAGTAAAGAAAAAGAATAAAAAAGAAAAAAGTGATTCTAAACAAGTGGTATCCACAAAGTCCAAGAAAGCTCCTAAAAAGAGAAAACTTGGAAAAAAGAAAATATCAAAAAAAAATAATTCAGAAAAAAAATCACTTGTTATTGAAAATGTTATTCATTTAAGCAGTGATAGTAGCACCTTCAGCTTCACTGACTCGGAAAATATCTATTAATATCGGTGGTAAAGTAATGTAAATTAACAAAAATTGTTTTTATGTTGTAAATAAATAGACCATTTTAACACAGTCAGATTATTTATTAATGATGCTATTGATTTTAAATATATTTTTGTGGTACTTAATTTTTTAGTGAATATATTTCTGTTTGTCATTTTATGAAACTTGTTGAAATAATTTATCAATTATTGATGGACATAATTTTTTTTTTTTTTACTTATCGCACTTTTTTTATATTTTTAAACAAAAATATATTTAAGTAATTTTTAAGTTTTTATTTTACAGAAATATTAAGCTGTTGGGGTTAAATCTCAGATAATAGCCACCAAAATCAAACCCCAGATGAGGAGGTACGAAATTTGACCCGCTATATAATTTTTTTTTTTTTCTGTAATGAATGAATAGTAGGCGGGCTAATGTGTGTGCATAGCACTGCTGTTATCTAGCAACCTGATCTATGAAACGATGGATTTAAAATACTCAAGAGATCGTGTCCCAGTACCGGAGGAGTCTTTTAAATCCCCACCCACAACTCCTGGCCCAAGAAAACCATGTATAGTCTTAAAGGCGAGGAAGGGGAGAACCCAAAAAACAAAAAAAATGTAATGAATAAATAGTGTCGTTTCTGTTATTTGTAGATGTAAATCAGTGCTACCAAAATACCCCACATAGAAATTCTTTTTATAATAAAACAAAGAAATGTAAAAATATAATCATACCATCTAAAGGTCTAAGCCTTTCCAAGCTTTGTCATTTCAATGAAATACATTCCCTTGATATATATTTTTTTAATTATGCTTAATATATTAATCCATCCAGATCTTAATTTTCTCAAGAAGTTTTCATCAATTTAACCCTTAATAGGCCAAGGTATCTTCAGACACCTTCCATATTTAACTTGCCCAAGGGCTCTTTAACTATTATTGACTGGCTGTTTAACTATAACTGTTTAACACTGTTCCATTCATATCTTTTTGGGTCACAGTCCCCATCCCAGTAGCCTCCTAACATTAGTACATATGACAAAATTTTAAACTCCCAAAGGGAAAAAAAACATAATACCTCCAATGGTACAAAAAAGACCCTAAAAAAAAAGAAAAATTTCAAGACCACAATTCAGGTGAGCAAAATATTATGATTTATTTTCATATTACTCAATCCCTTTTTCCCAACACATATATGTTGTTAAAAGGAACGCCCCTAAAATAAATTTGATTTTAAAACAGTTTCGAATACAAATTGCAAAAGATATTCTACTGTACTGACGAGCTAAAAGAGCTAGTGGAGCCAGGATACCACAAATTGTAGTCTTGAAAAAAAGAACAGCTGCAGCTGTCATACCCAAGACAGCAATACTTGATAAGATGCACCATTGGCAAGTATTAACTACAAAAGGGAAGTGCAGACTTATTGTTGACAGATATGTGCAGACAGATATGTTGCCAAAATCAAATGGTTGTTTCATGCCAAAAATGTAATGTGAGAATTTGTAACACCAGTGAGAGGTTGTGTTCTTGAATTTCATGGACAAGGGAAGGAGTAATGCTATTTTTCATGGATTTATGTTTTGTATTTTATTATATTTTGTTTACAACATAATTATTTTTTATTTAAAAGATGTTTCATTTATTACCTGATAAATGATTTAATTACATTTTTAGAAACTATGATGCTATTTTATTGGCCAATGAGAATTTAGACACCACCATTGATTTACTGTGATTGGCCAAAGTGTACTTAAAGACACCATCATGTTTGACGGCAATTGGCCAAAGTGTACTTAAAGACATCATGCAGTATTTTTATACAAAAAAGAAAAACTGCAGTAAATCATATATATTCTACTTATTTAAAACAAAAAAGAAGGTTGGCCTGATGCATTCCTCTTCATTCAGGGTTCACTTAGGAAAGCTGACCATAGGGGAGTATTTTAAGTAATATTGTCAGTAATGATCAAACAAAATTTTAAAATAATGTTTAGTCTTTTTCAGTTTAGTGGACCATAAACAGTTTTGTAAACACCAATGGAAAAACTAACAAAACTTCATTAATTTATCTTTTATCTTTTATTGATTTATGTTTTAACAATTTAATTTTATGTTCAATTATTATTATTTTGTGTTTTTTGCTTGCAGAGGTGGGGGGGGGAGCTGCCACACCACACCCACAGGGGGCTGTTAGTTATACCATTTCATGTAGAGGATTTAATTTAAAATTCTACTGTGTGCAATACAAGGACAAAATCGAAAATGGACAAGTGACCCATAAATAGGGTGAAATATTTTTTAAAAAACACTGCAAATTATTTCAGAATGGTTTATTATTTCCAAGCAATTATATATCTAAAGTAATATTACCTTCCTAGTTACAAAGACAAATAAATAAAAGGTGATTCCAATTATTCGACTAAACTTTTTTTATTAATCATTAGTAATATGCTAAAAAAAGTACTATTACTTCAGTAACATATACAACATTCAAAAACCAAAAGAAAGGATATAACCTTTGCAGTAGAACATACAAAAAAAAAAAAAAAAACTAGAGACCATATCTTTAATCCTAATTGTCTGATTTTAATGATTTTGTTTTTGTTTTTTAGGAAATTAAGTAAACTTTTAAAAAACTATAAGCGGATAGTGATGTGGATGTAGGAGTATCTCCTCGGGTGACATCTGATTTTATATCTAAATTTGAAAAAAAATCGGTCCAGTAGTTTCGGAGAAAATAATCGGACAGCGGATGGACAAAAAAATTTTTATTCGTTTTTCAAATTCTACGTATCCTGAAACATAAAACCTCAAATTGTGAGAGGGGGTTAAGTGTTTGAATTTTTTGGTCAATCATTATTGAAGATAATAAACCAAAAATATTTTAAAATCGCGATATCTCTACTAATAGTGCTTTGATTTTGATGAAACTTTCTTCATTTTTTAGGAAATTTAAATACTTATGAAACATCATACCAGAATATCGACACAAAAGTGTATACTTTTTGAGTTATTCAGAATTTAATTATACCATCTCTTGTAGATTTTTTTCCAGCTTCTTTTCGTTGAAGTATGTTATATAGATAAATTTAATGGGCGTCAAGAAAATTACTTTAGCGAAGTTTCATTGAAATTCAATGAAATAGAGGTACATTCGTTTAGGCGCTTCAGTCCATAGCAACGCAGGTTTTTCGGTCGCCATCTTGAAATTAAAAGGCGGATAGTAATGTCGCTGAAGGAGTATCATCGAAAATATGATGTGATTAGATATCCTGTCACCTATAAGTACCTGTGTTTTCAGTATAAATTACTACAATAAATTGTTGCAAAGCTATACTTTCTTTTCTTCCATGGCAGTGGATGTTTTATAATAAATGTAATTGCGTTAATACACTTTTTATTGATAAATAAAAATAATTATTTTTCAAATATGAACCATCTAAAGTAATTTTTTCATATCTAGATCGTTATTATAGGCATTAATCTGTATTTATAAGTGACCAAATAAATGTATTTATAATACATTATAAATATAATGTATCAGGGTTTGAGATTTATAATTAAAAAAATAATAAAAATCAAATCTGATCAAAAATTTTATTTGGAATTTTTAATAATCATTTGATGATTTTTATAAGGAGCAATTTTAATTTTTGATCATAAGTAATAAAAATCATATTCTTTTTGAGCAAAAGTTTTACAATTAACAATAATAATAATTCTTGAATAATACTTCTTAAATTAGAAATATCAATATTTTGTAATCTCTATGATATAATTGAAGTCGGGAGAACTAGGTGGAGAATATTATTGTCAACTATCAGAAGCAGAACTTTATATCTGAATTCATTCAAAATTTCGGCTTGAAAAAAAATATATATTAGGTAATTTAAGACTGTTTTTTTGTTCTTATGAGTTCAGGTTTTTTACTATCAACAGTTTTTGATTTAAAACTTGATTTGTAAAGAAGCTTTCTCTATCCATGCACCATATTCATCTCTATAATTATAATACTCCAATTAGTATAAATTAACAGTTAATTGATAACATTAACAATATATGTATTACATAATTATTTGAAATGTCATGCAATTATTATCAGATCATGCCATACGTTTTATTAGTTTTGTCTATTTAAACACATAAATGATAAGAACAGTGTTCTTGTTCTTCGTCTCATATCAGTTTTCTTCGAGAATAGAACTCCTCTTTGTCGAACACCATCTTACTGAGTGCTGAAGGTTTACTGTCAGCACCCTCTATATTATCGCAACTATTTGGTAACTAAAGTTACATTACCTTATTTAATTTACTATTATTTGAATTTATATGGATGACTATTATTTGTGAATAGTGTTGTGGAATGATAAAAGTAATAAATCTATTGGACTAAAATCTATTGGACTGATAAGTATGCTGTGTGATTCAGCAGTTTAAACCGAGTAGCTACAAAATTTTATTGTAGTTCTCTAAACATTATATTTAATATTTTTTCAATGCTTACCACATATATAATTTAAAATGGTTTTAGAAATCTACAATAGGTTTTAGAAATCCCACTACATACTTATATTGTTGTTTACATATCTATACACATAAAGTTGTTGGAAAATATATGCAAGATGTACACCTGTTTTTTTGGTTTATTATTAATATAATTTTTTTATGAATTTTATGCATAATGTTTGAGGCAAGAATCACATGTTTCTAAAGTGATTTCCATTATACTATTTGACATAAATTTGTATAGAGGTTAATGCTGAATATTCCTAAAGTGTAAGTAAATATAATTGATAACAACTATAAAAACATTAGACCTCTATCAAATAACTAATATTATTAAATTAATGTGTTACTATTTATTTGAAGTTTAGATATAAAATGGTATCTTGGTGAATAATGTGTACTCCTCTAAACTGATGCTGCATTTTAATTTAATAATATTTTAAACATTTTGTTTTGGATGAGGCATAAGAACATACTGTCATAAATTTACATTACAGTCCTGGAAGGTTTTCACTCAATCAATGGGCAGTTCAAAATTCATCAATTAGGTGAACTTATAAGGTGAACGTAAAATTTACAAATGGGTAAATATATGCCCACTCATTTTGTACTGGTCTCATATTCAACACAGCCTATAATTACATATCATTACTTTTGCTTAGATTAATGCAATATTTTTTATAGCATAAATACACATATTCTAATTATAAAAATGCTTGTACTTTCTTCTTTTATTTATTTTTTTTTTTCTGTTGGCATTATAGACCATGTAAATCTTTTGATGCCTTAAGAAGCCAGCTCCATCTTTTCCTGTCTTGCGCTATTTCTTTCCATTTATCTAAAATACAGCTCTATAGCATCTTTGTTGATTCTATCTATGCATCTGCTTTTTGGCCTTCCACGTGGTCTTTTACCTTCTATTGATGCATTCATTGTTATGTAGAAGCTTCCAAATGGATTTTTACTAGCTACATGCTCTGCCCATGTCAACCTCCATGACTTCATATCATCAGATATTGATTGACCAGTTTCTGTAAGCAGTTCTTTATTGGTCTTTCTTCTCCATGTGTTAGTACTCTGACCCCAGACCGCGCTGGTTATCGTGCGGAGGATTCTCCTCTCAAATCTTTCAACACTTTTTTCTAGGGTGCTGGTTAGAGTCCAGGTCTCACAGCCATATCACTGGCCATAGCCACATATAGAACTAGCTTTATCATGGCATCGTACACCCTTAATTTGATATTTCTCTAGATTTTTCAGGATTTTAATACATTTGCAAGGGAGCAGAAAGCCCTGCTTTTGCTAATAATACGCTGATCTATTTCTACTATTGATTGAGGTTATGGTGGAGCCAGGGTATTTGAATTTTCCTACTCTCAGGAATAATTTTTCCTTCTACGCAGATCCTGTTATTGGGGTGGAATTTTGGCTAATTATCATGTATTTTGTTTTGTCTTCATTTACTTGTAAGCTGATCTGCTCTGCCTCTCTTATCAGAGTCGTAGCGAGTTGCTTACTTCCAAGGACAGCAATATCATCTGCGTAGCCAAGGATTTTATAATTCATTCCGACGTGGACTCCTCCATTTTCTTGTGATGCTGTTCTTACTACCTTCTCCAGGGCTAAGTTGTACAACATCGGTGATATGATGGATGATTTTGGAGTGAGATGATGGATGATGATCCATCTCCCTGCTGTAAGCCCATTCGAACTTTGAAGGCTTCAGATACTTCTCCTTGTATTAGGACTCTACATTTGGGGTCATTTGTACACACATTTGTCAATCTCACCAAATTACCGGGAACTCCCAGTTCAGTCATGATTTTCCAAAGACAGCTTCTGTCCACAGAATCATAGGCTGTTTTGAAATTGACAAATTGAGCGTGGACGTCCTGAGCTACTGGTCATCATTTTTCTGGTAATGGTTGTAGGATGAAGATCTGGTCTAGTGTGCTCCTCCATTTTCTGAATCCAGATTGTTGGTCGCCTATTATATTCTTGTAATAAGGATATATCCAGTTTAGTAGGATATTGGTCTTTATCTTGTAGGCAACCGGAAGGAGTGCTTTAACTCTGTAATTATTATACCCATACATGGAGCCTTTCTTCGGGATAAGACAGATATACCCATAATCCAAGCCTCAGGTATCCTTTCATCTTCCCATATTTTCAGGATTAGTTGTACTAGCTTGGCTCTTAAGTCGCCACCTCCATCTTTAAACAGTTGTAATGGTAGGTTGTCTATCCCTGGGGCCTTTCTTGTTATGAGCCTTTCGATAGCTATTTCTAGATCCAGTATATCTGTTTTTCAACCTCTTCTGGGTCAAGGTCCTCAGTGTGGTTCATGTCGTGTTCGTACTTGGGGTCCTCGTGATTGAAAAGCTCCTGGAAATGTTCTTTCAATGAGAATTTCCAGATGTTCAATATCTTTTCTTTAGATGCCGTCAGAATGCTATCTTTCCCTCGCATTTGCGTATTTCTCGCTTTATATCCTACCCTTTCTTTCCTAATGTCTGTGTAGAATGTTTGCATATATCTCCATCCTGCCAGTTGTCCTCAATGGTTTCCAATCTTTCTTTGAGGGATTCCCTTTTTGCCGATCTTATAGTTTTGTTTGCCTTTTTCTTGGCAGGTGCTTGTTCAGAGCAACTTAATCAGTTGTAGTTAGACAGAGGACATTAATTTTTCTTCTTTCCTCTACTGCCTTTTCGCATGATTCTGTGAACCATATCTTAGCTATTCGTTTCTTCTGAATACCGATCACTTCCTTATCTGTTTCTTTTAGTCCTTCCTCTATTTTCTCCCAGTGTTGGTCCACCGTGAGGCTATTCGAATCCAAGACTTCAAATTTGTTTTTCAGCTCAAGTTGGAATTTGATGTTTATTTCAGGATTTTTCAAATTACGGACTTTGTGCCTTCTTCTTTCCACTTGATCCCTTATTGTGTGAATTCGCTTCAATCTCTGACATAATATAATTATAATCAGAGAGTGATCTGAATCACAGTCTGCTCCACAATGCGTGTACTTAGACCACATTATGTCACATTCAATACTATTTTTCTATTATGATGTAACCTATTATTTTTGGCATACTCTATTAGCTTCAAGTCTGTTTTAGCATATACTCTCATTTCTACCACAAAAAATGCTTGTTAACTCAGGTACCATTTCTTTCATTCAAAGTACAAACATATGTTTGACTCTTTCAGTGTAATGCAAAATGTCCGTTGATAGCATGTTCATAATTTCAAATAAAAATATGATAAAATATAAGAACAGTTTCGAGTAATATATCAGAATTAAATTCTGTAACTTACTGAACTTTTGGCCAAGCTCAAGGGTTGTGTTGTGTTTTTATTCACAAATTGTCTATCTTATCAGTCTAATTCATTTTTTTCAAAACATGAAAGGGACCAATCATTTTTTTTTAATATTATAGTTGGAACAGATTTTCTTTTATGTAATTTGAAATGATTTGAAAACTACAAGCAATCATTAATCCTTTTTTTTTTTTTTTTTTTGTATAAATTAGATTTATAAGAGTAATAAAAAGGAAGTTTCAAGTATTTATAGTATGTTCAATCAGAGTGGATATTCACATCGTAGACAAGAATAAAATAAATGTTAAGAGATATTAACAAATCACAACTAATAATGTATATTTATTATTTTATTTATTGAGAGTGCCAATTATAAAAAGTTTTACTATATTTAAACAGCACTATTTGAAACACAAAAATGTTAATATTTTATGTTAATTGAAATTGGGAATAATATATACAATAATAACTAATGTATTCATTCATATTGATTGATGGTAATGTCACAGTAAATAACAGATTGGATTGTAGTAAACAATTGAAACCAATATTATTGATACGGAAATATAATAGTGATACATTAGGTACAAATTCTACTAATATATAAATTATTACCAATGACCATAATCTTCAGTGGTGACATATCAAATTTTTGTTTTATTTCATAAATCACTTTTTCCTGAAAAGCTCATCAATCTGAACTGCTTAAATATCTATATATGCTGTATGTGTATACTAAATCATGAGGTATGTATCTACTTTAGTATGTATATCTGAGGAAAAAATATTTTCTAATAATGCAAAAATTACCATCTTCTCTACTCAACCACAAAGATTTTTGTCTGCTTTGAATTAATATTTAATTTGTATAAGCTGCAAAATGACTTAGAGTAAAAGAGCTAGATATTGGATGTCTTATAATAAACAAATTATCAATCAATCATTATTTTTATTTTATTTTTCAGGCTAGATCATAATTTGGTATGAATTATGTTTAAAAACTTTACAAGAAAAGGGGCATAAAATGAAATTTTAACTTTCATTTTTAATCGGATTTAGTATGACTGGAATCTTTATTTTCAATTGATTTTTTTTAATGTTATTTCAGCACTAGAACTTTTTCTAACTTTTCAAGTAAAGTAAGTATGGAATGAATACTTCAAATCTTTTAAAACTTTCATTTAAAAGTTTAGTTGAAAAAATTCATTTTATCAATATTTCGAACTAAAATATTATTCTTATTCTTATCTATTCAAACAGAGGAAAAATTAGAATCAAGTAGGGTTAAATAAAAACAAATCACAAGTTTATCAATCATTGTATTATTGTATTATCCCTTGATAAGTTTTTTATTTCTCAACAGCATTCTTGGTGTTTAGCTAGGTACATGTTCTACATGCTTGAAGGCTGGTACCTCTAGGAGCTCAATTATTTTTAAAGTGTAAGTTGATTTCTATATTTGAAAGGATAAATAACGGCATTAATTCACCAGGTTAGAGGTCTTGGAAGGAGTAAAGATTCAAGAGTGGCTGCTAGGCCTATTGAAAGGTAGTTACTATGACATTGGATACGTCATGACAACATGTAAACATCTGTAGTTTTAAAACGGTACCGCGATGACAAGTACGAAAAGTGCAGCAAAAGAAATAGATAAAAGTATTAGTCCAAACATTCTACATTATTACGTAATCGACAGACGGATCGGCCAAGGTGCTTATGGTGTAGTTTGGAAAGCATACAAGCGAAATACTAATCAACCTGTGGCTTTGAAGAAGATATTTGACGCTTTTCGAAACACAGAAGACGCCCAAAGAACCTTCAGAGAAGTCAGCTATTTGAAAGCATTCAAAGGTCATCCTAACGTTATACAGCTTCTGAACATTCACAGGGCTGCCAATAATTCTGACTTATATCTGGTATTTGAATACATGAATATCGATCTTCATAATTACATCACTTCAGGAAACAAACTGGACGATAATCAAGTAAGGTATATTATATATCAAATATTGAAAGCACTAAAATTCATACATTCAGGTAACGTAGTCCACAGAGACCTGAAACCTTCCAATATTCTCCTTAATACGAACTGTGAGTGTAAAATTGCTGATTTCGGTCTAGCTAGATCTCTAGGAGAAACCCGTCTCGGAACCAGAAATCCGTTGACCGATTATGTTGCGACGAGGTGGTACAGGGCACCAGAAATACTTCTAGGATCGAAGAGGTACTCACAGTTGGTAGATTTGTGGAGTCTTGGCTGTGTATTGGCGGAGATTGTAACTGAGAAGCCGATGTTCCCTGGAGATTCAACGACGAACCAGTTGGAACTTATAATATCCACAGTAGCCCAAGACGATAAGGAGGTGGAGGCTCTAAGCAGACTAGGGGTTGGCCGGCCGAGGATCGTGAAGGGAGTTCCTCTGAAGGAACGCCTTCGGTCCTCCAGCTGCGAGTGCATTGACCTGACCTCGAGGATGCTGAGGTTGGACCCCGCTCAAAGGATCAGTGCTCAGCAGGCCTTGAGGCATCCCTTCGTCTCTAGCTTCAGGAGTAGGCGAGGAGAGCCAGTCCTTGGAAGAACTGTGCAAGCAGCCATATCCGATAACAGTCGCCTCACCGTCCAGGACTACAGAACCGCTCTCTACAGTTATGATGAGCGAAAACCGAGGACTTTCCTTCCGTCGAACTTGCCTGCAGTAAATAGATATTCAAAAAGTCGGAACAGTGTCTCCTTCAATAAGAAACCTTTTTCTTCAGAACCAGAAAATACCACTTACAAAGCTAGGATTTATGAATCCACGAGATATCCACCATTATCGACTAAAACTTGTTTCAGAGGTAATTTTCAAAGTAAAGTTAGCGTACGACATTAATGAGTCTTTTAATACTATTGTATGATACAAATGTTCTACTAGCATTTGTTATATGTCAATAAAACCTTTGACTGATTTGTTTTTAATGATGATCTTATAATATCAACAAACAAAACAATCCTGCATTTAGATACACATTAGTTTTAGAAAAATGTTAATCGTAAACCAATTTTTTGTAAAATAAGGCTGAAAATCAGGCAAATAGGCCATACTATGGCCTGCTATTTTGTTCCTTCATAGACACTTGTTTAACAAAATAAAATAAAATAAAAAAATTGAAGCTAAAATTATCTGTGTTTAAAAACCATTTTAAAATTAATTTGAACAAAAGTTGGAGGAAACTAATATAAATAACGCATAATCTATTTTTACCACACATAATAACGTCGGACTAATACAATATAATTTTTTATAATGTCAAAAACTAAACTTTATACGTCAACAAAAATAATATTTTTTATTAAAGAGTTAATATTTTCAAAAGTGGATGAAAAGTATACTCTCATGATCCGAATTGGACGACCAGTAATGAAGATGATCAGGAAAAATAATAAATCGACAAATGATATAAATGAAATAACCTTTTATTAAAATACGCAACAATTACTGAGCATGTTCGAGTTGATAAACATTGATATCAATAATTATTATCACAGAAAAATTGAATAATTTAATTAGCTGTCGCTCCTCCATCAATGGGAAGTACCACACCATTAATCATTTTGGAAGAGTCACTTAGTAAAAAGATGATAGCGTTGACGACGTCATCCACCTCTGGAAAATAGTAAAACAACATTATGTCAATGACCAAGAGACACATTACACAACACAGAAATTACTGAATAAAGTAATTGGATAAAGTATCTTACATACGAAAATACAATCAAATGAAACAGTAATAATAGCAATAGTAATAAGTTTGACAATTGAATAATTGACATTAATTAAAAATTTATTTCAATATTATTAAGTCGTATTTCAAATATTTAAGACGATACCACACACCAGGTAATGGTTTATTAATGAGAGGATGATTTTTATGGGTAAAATTTGTTCATCTTTGCTGTTTCGTTTTTATTAATTATGTTTTTTCATGAAAAATAAATAGTTAATAACTTTTTTATCGTGAAGATGGATTTTGATGGATTAGGTCGTACTGTTTTTTTTTAAGGTATTAAACAAATTAGTTCACTAATTATAAAGATATTTCACTAATTCAATCAGTAAAATATTGATTTTTAACAGTGTAGGAGCCTTCCATATCCGATCATAGAATAATGTTTGAATTATAACGAAAATTGTTCAACACTCTTATTATTATTTTCACTTACATATTGAATGTTTGGTACGATTTCTTTTTATAATCATGAACAGCCATACAGCGTGAAAAAAGTAAACTACTTATTCGTATTTTCAAATCTACAATATTATTTTGAAAAAGGACTAAAATAAATAAGAAAAAAAAAATTTGTTGGTCCAGACCTTTTTACCGCAGCCGACCGCAGGTCTAACATTTATTTGTTTATTAAGATTAGAATCCTGAAAAAATATTAAAACATACTTCACTTGCGTCCACCTGCGTCAGTAATTAAATATCATAAATTGAGTTAAACTTTTTAGTTATTTTTGATCGAGCGTCTACTTGAAATGAAGAAACTACAGACCCTAACATTTTAAGTATATTATTATGTGTAATATAAATCAATGTATCATTTCGTTATATCTTAAATTAGTCATTGAGGCCTAAAATATAAAATAACTTTTTTTTTTTTTTTAAGTTTTATTTATTTGCATTAAAAACCAAAACTCTTTCATATTTTTCATATGATGTATTATTATATCTTATAAATTACTGTATATTTTTATTTTATTTAAAATATTTCCTTTAGATATAATTATATGTTAAAAAATATATAAATAAAACAAAAATTAAATTTAAAAAAATGTTTCTTCAGATTCTATTTATTTCGGATAAAAATGAGGAACTCTGTCGTATTCTTATAATGTAGTATCTATGTTATTAAATATTTAATTAATTCAGATTTGAAAAATAATTAGGTGTTAAAGAATAATTAGTTGATAAAAAATGATTTCATGGGATGAGGTTTTAGTGTTTGGTAGTACGGAATAAAACAACATCTCATTTGACTCAATAATTTAGTCAGCTATCTTATTCTGAGAGAAAACAAATTGATTCATATCTTTTATCCCGGTTAACCCGGAAGGCGGATTAAACGGAGTTCTATATTGTAGATATTTTATAGAAAATTTAGTTGTGATTATTATGGTATCAAAATTATTTTTCTGTGACTTATAGATCAGTATTTCCAGGTTTTCAACCATTGTGCGAAGCCTGAAGGTTTGAATCCAGCCTGGGTAGTATACATTTATTTCGTGGCGGTCCTACTGAATTAATCTCGACCTTTTCACTCTGGTTAGAATAGGTTTGGTTGTACATCTAGGACAACTCTGCATGTCAGAATTTGACTACAGACAGGCAGAAAATCAAATTCGTTTCATTATATTACAAACGTAAAACGTGTAGAATTTTTCAATTATGAGCACTATAGTTATGCCAAACTCCCGTTCGAATGCAAAACTCTAGTAGTTAAAAACAACAAATGATATGATTTTTGTTGTGAGTGAACAAAAAACATAATTTATTGATTACTTAATTGTTGACCGTAGTGTAATATTGAGGAAAGAGATGGTTCGGGGTGTTGCTCACAAAAGAACTTTAAATAATAAAAACTTATAAAGTATATAGTTTTTCACTATTTTAATTTGTTTACTTTCACTTTTCTATGCATGAAATATATAGCAAGGGTAAGTATTACGATCGAGAAAATTTTGAATCTGAGTTTTCAACGGAAATACAAGTTTTTTGGTCTCCAGAATCGAAATAATCAAGTCCCGCAAAATGGTCTGCGTGTGTGTATATATGTGAACGGCCTAGCTCAAAAATGAAAAGTCATACGAAACTGAAATTGCGTATTTGAGGTTCTTATACGCCTTGGAAGCCTTACAGCAACATTTTCGGCAAACCGGAAGTGGTACTTTAAGATTTAACCGGAACACATTTTTAAGATTTTCTCAAAAACAGCTCCAACGATTTTGATTAAACTCAGTATATCAGTGTATTATTAAGCAGTTTTTAAAATCCAACAAGGCTTAAATGGCTAATTTTCAATATTAGCTTCCTCTAAAGTACCTTTAGTTTTTTTTATTTGAAATAATTAAACATTTCATATTAATTTTTGATACGAAAAATAGCTACATATAAAATATGAAAGAATTTTATAATTAACTAAAGGAGAAATAAGAGATCATAACGGATAATAGTTGTAATGAGGGAACCAAAGGGATACGAGAGCGTGCCCGAGCTCGCCCGAAGATTAGAACAGGCTTCCATTCGTAACATGAGCTTAATATAATATGCACTTCGACAATATTATGTACATATACATATGCGATTTTTATAAATGCTATTATCGGTATTATTTAATATTAATTGCACAGAATACAGTGATATAAAAATTAAAATTTGTTTATATAAGTGTATTTAAACAAATAAAAAACCCACAATGAAATGTAAATAAATGTAGCTTCTATAATTTTTATTTTCACTTCTTCTTTGTCGGAAAATAGTTATTTCTGCTGAGAAGAGGATGGTAAGTCGTGTGAAGCGCGCACCAGATTTTTTTTAAGAACGATACCCCGGACCATCTCTTTTCTCAAAACATAATTTAGTTAGTTCTAAAATTAAATAATTTACAGATATATTTACCATAGTTGTGTAAATATAATACCTGCAAATCTATGAAGAGGAATTCTATTCAGCATGGGCTCAGCTTTTTTGGGATCTGACCACCCCAGCTTACCCATATCAGTCAAAACGACAGTAGGGTTAACGCAATTTACCCTGATTTGATGATTACCCAGTTCCAAGGCCATTACTTTGCTGATAATGTCTAAAGCTCCCTTTGTGCCGCAGTAGACAGTGTGGTCACGGAGTGCAATCTGAAATTCGAAATAAACATATTGAATTAACTTTCTAATTTGTACAATCTAGTAGTCCGTTTTTTAAATTTAAAAATATACTAAGTGGTCAAGTTTAGTAGAAACGCGCGGTGAAAAAAGCAGAAATGCAACTAATGTGTATTCATTTAAGTAATTTCTGTGTAGCCACACTAAGGATTTGATAAAACAAAACCGTTTGTTTAAGTTTTAAGGAAACCCACGCTTTCTTCCCAGGAGATTCGAAGTGTTTTTCCTCTTCCTCTCGGTCTTTTTCTTGACGTGAGTCGCGTAGGTCTTCCTTGCCACTCTATACCGATCTGTCCGGAAAAGGTGGCCAAATCATCTTAATTTGCTTTTTTCTAGAATGGTTTCCACAGGCTTGACTTTGATTTTTGCACGGATGTTAGTGTGGCAATTCCTGTTTCACCTGTTCTTCCCCTCCACCTTTCGTAGGTATCGCATGTCTAGGGACTGGATTTGACAACTTTGCTTTAAAGTGAGTGTCTAAGACTCAGAAGAATGTGTTAGAATAGGAAGAAACCTCTATATACTCCCATCTTCGTTTCCTTTGTAACCTCTCTTCGGTTTAGGAAGCCTCTCCTCGCCGAGCAGAACATGCTTTCTTATTCAATCCCTATTCGTTGCCTCATCTCCTCGTTAAAACATCCGCTTAAATTGATTTGAGTACCCAATATACTTTCTCCAAACTCTCGCTGTCCACCTCAACACAAAAGTTAAAGAATTAAATCGTATGATATGAACCTCATTTGAAATCACACGATGGATTTAAACATATCTTCTCCATAAATAAGAAAAAAGTATATATATGAATATTCCAGTTGATCCCTTTTCGAAATTACCAATTCAATTATTATTATTCTTAATTGATAGATCGTTTGTCTTAATTGAGAAAAACGAGAAGTGGATAAAATATAAAATTGAATAAGCAAGTGGGAACATGTGGGCAAAGTACTTGGAGCAAGTTTACCGAGAGCCACGAGGATGGAAAACTTCGTGGCTTCGCTCCCAAGTTTTGGCAGTGAATAAAGAAATAAAAATAAAGAACAGGCATTTACTTAGAGTTTAATCTGTAATATAATTTTTAATAATAATAATAAAATATTTATCTATTTTTCATTAATTAATATTCATTCACTCACTCATCTAAAAACAAATTAAAAATTCATCTATCTATTTTTGGTTATAATGTTTATTTACTTACTAAAGATGCCTGTGAGGAAAGATTAACTATACTGCCTTCAATGTTATTGTCGATCATTGTCTTTGCAACAACTTGACTTATTAGTATAGGCGCTTTGACATTCACATTGAATAACCTAGAAAACATAAGTTAAATATGCACAACATTTTTTCTGTCTCTGGATGTAAATGGCTTATAAATATAATACTAATAATATAATAATTGACTTTGTTGGGCTAGTGAGAATGCAGATACATGTTACTGTTAAATTGCCGTTTTACGGACGGTGAGTGGTCGATTGTTCAAAATTTAGGTGATTTTTTTTTTGAGTAAATGACAGTAAGAAAGTACGAGAAAACGATTGGCTTGAAACAGCCACCTAACGATTGATATTAAATGAAGCCAAAGCTCTTCTGTGGTTCGTAGACTTTTTGCTGTAATCATAATAATATAGTTTAAAAAAAAAGCCTTTCAGTTGACAGAATAACTAACTCCAATTTCACTTTTTTTTATTATTAATTTTAGTGATATTTGTAATGGGAAAATTGATAACTTTATTCACATTTATATATTTCAACACTGCAGTCACCTACTCTGGAATCAACCTAGTTATTTTCTGTGCAGATATTATAAATTTTCCAACTAGAAATATCACGAAAATAACTTTAATCAAAAATATCTAGAATTTAGACTTAGTCATTCTGTCAACTGGAAGGCTTATATAGTTGTAATGGGTTACTTTGTTTCTTACGGGATAACATTTATCCAATGACGTCAAATTTTTGTAGATCCGCCTATGGTTGACCGTGGTTTTATACCTTACCACGTAATCAAATTATAAAGTTTATGTACTCGTTCGACGCAAAAATTTAAATTTCTTTAATTTATTACATTTTAAGAATACATTTTTCGTTTTGATTCATCGTTTAGGAGCTATAGGTGAAAAAAAAATATCGAAAAAACTGGATTTTTTAGAAGTAAAAAGTTTTTCCCAGGCGGGTCGCGTTAGTAATTTAGTTTTTAAAAAGTCTAAACCCATATATAGAAGTTAAAAAAAAAAATTTTATTCTCACATTTTTCATAATGGATTTCCTGTTTCGATCTTCAAATTACTGGCCTAACATTCTTTAAATCAGCCACCATTATTGAAAGCAGCGGCTCTGGAATGGCAGATAAAGTTCTTTTAACTCAGAATAATGTTCACTTTAATTTAATAATAATAATTTACAACCAAATCTCCGACAGCAATGAGGTTGATTTTTGGGCCCTGGCTCCAGGACTGATTTGAGGGAAGAACCAAAAAGAGGTCGTCTGGCATTTTTTTTTTTTTTTTCTTTGTCTCGTGTTATTCTTTATTTGACAACGTCTCTCAAACTTTTGTAAATGGATTTCTTCTTCTGGAAGTATTAAGAAGACATTGACCTTTAAAGTTTTGCCTGTGACCAAGAAGCAAAAGCCAGCTTTACTTATTGATCTCTTCTTAATTAGTCGTATCTTAAAGTATAACAACGGGTAACTTTTCACTTAAATTGGTATTACCTCCAGTAAACGTGACCTCCCACGTGACAGTATACTGGTGGAGTACTAACTGTTCTGATCTGTGTAATGTCTGATTTTTTTTAAATTTTCAACATCCTTGCAATTACTAAAGAAACATTAAAGTAATGTACACTGTCTCTTGGTTAGCTCCTCAGTCGTCTTTTGGGACTATCGTAAGGCTTTGTGGCAATGAATTGAATTTGAGTCAGTGGATTGGAATTTAAAATCAGTTTGCTCACGAAAATCATTAAAACGATTTTTGGCAGTTGCTGCGATAAAAGTAATGTCAAGGTCAGGATTAGCGTCACACACATTAGAGGCAAAAAAATGGTTCTTTGATGAAGACAGTTTGAAATTATATTATTTTTAGATCCTCAGGGTCATGCGTATTAGAAAATAATGAAATTTTTCTTAAGCAGATTTCTAATTATTTATTTATTCGATTTCTAATGCCTAACTTAACTCCATTTTGTTACCAAAATAAAATTTCGTTTTTACAATGCAAAACAGGCAGAAAACCATTATCTGATATATATTGGGTTGAGGAAAAGTAATTTCGTTTTTTTTTATTCATGGTTTACAAAGCGAATTTATTTATATAAATTTCAAGCACAAACGGATGATATATGTGCTGTTTTGATCAATGACCATTTGCCACTTTTCTGGTTAGTACATAACATCAACACTGAAGAAGTTCTGAGATTTCTGTGCAAAAGACTGAACCAAGTGATTTTTTCAATCCTCTTTTGATGCCAGCTCTACACCATTAACAGCGAGATCTGAAGAGTCCATGACAAGTGGTAGTCAAACGTAGTAAGATGAGGGCAATACAGTGGGTGCATCACTAATACTTCCCAACCAAGCTCTCTCAATCTTTGCCGGTTCATTAAAGATGTATATGGTCCAGCGTTGTCGTGAAGGAAAACAATGGCTTTCCTATTGCTTAATTATAGCCGCTTTTCATGAATCGCCTGCTTCAGTTGTACTTGTTGTTCCCAGTAGAGAGCTGAAATAATGGTGTGGCAAGTTTTGAGCACCTAATGATGAACAATTCCTTTCCAATCCCATCAAACACTCAGCATCGCCTTTCTTTGCGTCAATCCGGGTTTTGCCTCTGTTTGTGCAGCTTCTACACCTTCGACCATATTTTTATTCAAATATTATTGTCGTACATGATCCACTTTTCACCACTATTTGTTTCAAAAACGGCTCTATTTCGATTCCTTTCAGCAGTGATTCACAAATGGAAACTCAGTCTATAAAATTTGTCTCTGTTAATTTATGTGGAATCCAAGTATCAAGCTTCTTTTCGTATCTAGGCTTATGTAAATGGTTTAAAACTGTTTTCTGATCAATGTTTAGTTCTGTAGCCAAGTTGCGAATTTTTAAATAATTTTATCAACTTCTTCAACAATTATCCGGCTCAGGTGAGGTACATCTTGAACATCAACACTTCCGAAACAAAAACGAGCAAATCCATTTTAACTCTGACGCTCACTTAACCACTCATCACCATAAGCATCATACAATTTTTGTTGAGCCTGAGCTGAATTTATGTCTATTCAGAAGTAAAATCGCAAAATATGACGAAAATGACCTTCTAAACTTTCATTTTTAAAGCCCAATAACAGTTGACCGAGTAAATGAATTACGCTATTTATATATATAAAATGATCTGTGGACATTGAACTTTCAAACACACCATAGAATGGCTTCATTGAATAAGGATTACAAGGGGCAAGATACTTTAAGGTCACCTATTGGGATAAAACTAAGTTACTTTTTCGTAAATTATAATTACGTGGACTCACATTAAAGAAAGCAGAGGATCAAGTTTATATATATAACTGAACCATATTTTCTAGTCAGTTGCTGTAACTTTAAGTAATACTGTAAATAAAATTCTTTTTAAATATTTTTAATAGTCTTTTTGATAAAAGAGAAGGGCCATAAAGTTAAAACGAGATAACTTGGGATTATCTAGCGCGATCTTTTGGATAATATCTGTAATTTATTAGCGTTAGTATTCAAACAAGATACTGTTATCTAGCAGATATTTATGGAAGACTTTTGGTGATATAATAACAAAAATTATATAATTCTATGATTTATCGTTCGCTTCTAAACCTTAATTATCCGGCAATTGTGATGGGCCAACAGGTGTTTAATTCCGGCCTTGGAAATAATTGACAATTGAATGAATATACTCAGTAGATTGAATCTTATTCTGGCGGTTTTATTAATATGGGAACAGATTTGGGTTTACTAATCAGGATTTTTATTAATTGTTATTTTATTTTTTAACGGTTATTACTATAGAGTAAGTATTAAAAAGATGGTGCGCGCAATACGCAACTTTCACTGACCACTCTACTTTGAACAGAAATTATTTTCTGGCAATGTTGGATATTATAAAATTTTGAAGTACATTTTTAACCACGTTAAGAGCTTCAAGATAATATCTAAAAATCATTAACAGCATTAAAATAAAAAAAATCCTATTTATTATATCAAATGTTGATTAGTCGACTATTAGTTATTGAACTGTTATTTTCCATTGCAAGTTTTATTAAAATGGAATTACGAGATTTGCATTGCGTCATATGTACGTCAAATTGTACGTGTATAATCTCGGGATATCACAAAGAGAAAATTCATTAAATTAGTCACTAATTTAATTTAAAAAGTTTACATGATGATTTATGGATAAAAACATGATAAATGGACCATAGGTAGCTACTTATTTTAATATAATATCATATCTCGAATTATTAAACTACAGTAAATGTATTTAAGACACACACACAGACCATTTTCCCTGGAAAACATGTATTTGCGTTGAATACTCAGATTCAAAAATGTCCACGATCGCAATAATTTCTCTTCCTATATACAGGCTGTTTCACACTGTATATAGGTAAGCGAAAGTAACAAAAAGTTAAAATAATACTTTTATGCTATATTTCGTATATTTGTTTTTTGACATACAATTAAATTTATTAGCTATTAAACGATAAAATTTAAAAGGAATAGATATATATTGTGATTAATTATGTTTTTAGCTTATTTATATTAGATAGCAAATCAATGAATCAGCTAGGGTATTACCTGTCAAAACTATCAGGCGTTACTTCAAAGAACGGCTGCAGTTCAGCAATGGCGGCGTTATTAACCAAACCATGGTACGGCCCGTGCTCCTTGATCAGTTTTGTGGCGTTTTCTGTATCGGTTACATCCACTGCGATAGTAGTGATTTGAGGAACTTCTTCTTTTAACGTATCCAAGTACTTTGCCGTTCGAGAGATGGCAACTACTTCTGCATGGCACTCTGCCAGCTTTTTAGCCAAACATCTTCCTATTCCTAGTAATCAAAATAATAAAAGGAACTTGAAATAATTTCTAGTCTATAAATTGATTAAATGTGGTTTAATATAGACTGCAAAGACTATGAAATAAATGCAATAAAATATAATATTAATGATTATCATATTTTATTAAGGCTTCTAAACACAGAACGCCGATATCGATAATTTTTATGTTTATAATTCGTAAACATTTAACATGAGAATATATGATATCAAGAATAAATCCGTCCGGGACCCAAATGAACTGGTTACGATACCGGTTAAAAGATAATATAAAATTGCAAGATAAACAAACTATTTTTGTTTTTAGTACCAACTTATAATATAAAGCATTATAAAGGAGCAAGTAATGATTACAATAATTATATTTCCATATTCAATCATCACCTGAATGATACTTGGGAAATTATTGTTTGGATTAAGATATACTATCCTAAATATGACAATAATCGCACACATGCATCATATTTTATAAAAGTGATTAAGAATTTACTGTGACTACTCTACACGAGGCTAATTGTTTTTGCAAAATTTACAAAAAGGTGGTCTTGATCTGGTTCAGAAGATTTGTTGTTGTAAACATTGTTTATAATAATAATAGAGGTCAGAGAGCACAAGAACATATTTTATTAGATGTTAGGATAAAATTGAGATTAGTTATCTTTATAATAAAGATATAATACTCTATTTTGCCTAACAACCTAAGGTTTGAATTCGAACCAAGACGAAGGATAATATGACAAAGTAAATTATCATCAGAAAAACATGTTAACAATTATCCTTTGATGAATTAGAGGGACGATTGTTTTTTTTTTTTTTTTCCCCTTCCACGGCTTTTAAGCTGTACGTTTTTTTTTTCGGAGCAAGGGAGTGAAGGAGGGAATTAATGCCAGAGTTAAAAGCCCTCCCCCTGGGTACCGAGACGCGAACTCGTGTAATTATTTTATCAAATCATCTTTGATCCGGGTTGCCGGAAACGCGCGGTGTTGTGCACACGCTTTAGCTCGCTCGGCCAACCCACCCTCATGGGGTAAAGATATTTATTTATTTATATTCCACCCTGCCTTGCCTAATGGGCTATAAGGGCATTTGCAGAAGTGGAGTGTTATGCATGACTGCACAAGAACACACTACTGCAAGTGGAACAGTTTACAAGATTTATCTTCGGTAACTTCTGATCAAGGGTAACCGTCTTCCGGCGGTCTTCTTGGTGGTGGTCCTGCACTGCCTCCTTCCAGTCATAAATAAATTTCTTGAACCGAGAGAAGTTCTCCTCACTTACCAACTGAGAAAGTTCATCCTCTGTTAGGACGTAAATTCCCTAGTTCAGTTTAGTAGGCAGTTCTCATTATTGTTGCCATTATTCCTTCAAATGCAGTGTAGGTCTTCACCACGTGCTCGACAGACTCCAGAACTCCCCAAGTGCGGCATTGGGGATCTGGAGGGGATAGGTCCTGGCCAAAGCCATGTAACTCACGGGTTGAAGTTGATAACTTTATTTCCCAACGGACCCACGAGTGAATCGACCTTTCTACTCTAGCATAGGTTTGGTTGTACCTCTATAACTTCCCTACTCCCGTCCTAACTCCCCTCTCTTCTCCGGCAAGCCAGAAATAGCCAGGTGCAGGGTAATAAAAAAAAATATTAATCAAGTTATAGAGACTTTTTTCTATTGAAGAGGCACTATTATAATCTTGGAGTTAAAATTCTATCTATATCATCTCATCTCCATGTTATGTCTCTTGTTGCATGGTAGAACTCGCGTAGCGGTATGATTTTTAACAGGTTGAATAGAAAAAGTAGATAGATAGAAAAATAACTTTATTTTGGGACGAAGTCCCTGAAGAATAAGAGAGCGTTGCAGAAAAAAAAGAATAACATCTTACCAGAAAACTGTTACATTAAATAAATAGATAAACAAAAAATCTTAATTAAACAAACTATACATACAAAATCAAAGTAATGAGACTATTTACAAAATACTAGAACTATTTAGAATATAAATAAGAAATTAAACAGAACAATGGTTGCTCAGCTAAAAAGGTATAGAACGTTATTTAAACATTAAAACAATCACAAAATGACTTGAAGGGAACATTTATGCAGCAATCATCAGCCAACAAATATCACTAACTACATCCGGCCGAAAAGAATATAAAAAAAAGGTGAAGCATTGCAAAAAAATATAATAGATTTCATGCTTTATCTATCTTAACAAATCGCCAAACCAAAACCGAAGTTTAATATTCAGTGATTAAATCTCACTAACCATGTCAGATCTATTTTAAAGAACTCAAAATATAACTATTCTTATACAATTGCAAGAACAAGGGTGACTGTTTACTTAAAAACACCACCTGATGCCTAAAGAATTAAAAATTAATAACATCGAGTTTTGCATTTTAGCAATCTGAGAACAAGCACTTTAAAGCAGTTTTTAGAGGAAGACATCAATCTTAACTAAGTGCTTAAGGAAGATAATAAAACGGTTAAGAAGATAACGATTTTTCACAGAGAAATATATATGTTCATCAAATACCCTTTTTACTTTCACTAAAACATATATCAATTTAATCCATTTAGATGGCTTCTATGGTTCAGATCCTTGGATGGACCTTCGTATGTTGATAGTTATCGACAAGGTTTTCATTCCAGCGTTAATATTACCTAAATTCGAAAATCATATGACCAGAAAGTACTGTTTTGGAGATATGACTTCATATAATATAAAAATCGTTATTAAATTAAGCAATTTGATTTCGAAGTTAAAGAAACAATAATTAATATGTAAAAATTGTTAAAAGAATGGGAGTCAGAGTTTGGAGAAGGCTTGTCCAGCATTGGGAAGAGTGGATTAGGATTGTGGAGATCCAGACCCTTTTTAATGGAACTGCGTTTTATCAATATGGCCTTCAAGAAAAAATACACAATTATTGGAGAAAACACTAAGCATTCGATAGAATGAAATATTATTAAATGGAAAACCTGTTTTTATTTCAACAGAGTATTCCATTCCTATCTGATACCAGAAAGTCCCTGACACTTTAAGTTGGTCAAATCTTAAATTATCTACTACTTTTTTGTATCTTTGACAGGGTTCATTGCCTGATTATTCATGAAGTCTCATCATCAGCATCATTTTTTTTTCTGTCCTTACTTGCCTTTTAGGGTACTCGGGTTTTTTTTTTTTTTCCTTGGAGAGGGCGGGGGAATTACGTCAAGTTAAAATTCCCATCGGGCACCGTTAATGAACTCGTAATTATTTTTCTATCTCAAACTTCGGTTATCAGGTTGCCAGACAACACGTCAGCCCGCTCGGCCACCATTAAGGATTTGAAATGCAATCTGCTTAAATAACAATAAACTCATCTTAAGCTTTGCTAAAATAGAAACCCTTTACTATTGTTTGTCCTGCCCTTGACAGAATGTAATGGAATTCATACTGAGGCCAAGTTATTACATTGATTCAAACATAAACAAAAACTTGTACCACTACAACCCATGAAGGGTCTTGGGTTCAGTAATATTTAGGAAAAATACTGTTTCTTGTTGTGCAAAAATGTAATTAGACAGAGTTTATGCTCAACCGCCATGTTTTCGGCCTTAATTAGTTATTTAATTAAGCATTTTATAAGATGGGTGTTCCCCAGGAAGGTCTCAGAGGATCGTCCAATGGTAGATGAAACAAAATAAATAAATTTCTGTCATGAACCAGCAATCGAACCTGGGACCTTGAGAATCGGAAGCTCCGAGTCCTACCACAGAGCTACCCCGCTCCCATTCAAACATAAATATGAATAATTTATAAACTGCATATCCATTAAATAGGAAATGAGCTATTCATATTTCCTAGATACAAGGTACAAAAAATAAGAACAATTTTTAAAATAAAAATTACTTAAAATGAATATTATTGTACTCTCTTGATCAAAATCAAGTAAATTAAATAAAATCTAACTTTTCAAACTTACTTATTTTCAAAATTCAGTTAACAAACCATAGAATAGAAAAGAAATGGTTGAAAAAGAGAACAAAAAATACAAATAAATACAGTTTTTCATCAATATTTTTATGTACTAAAAGTTTTAGGTTAGTTACATATTTTTATATAATTACACTTTTATGAATACACTGGCAGTCAAATGTATTTGCTCAAGCTAATTTTAGACTTTAAATTTGTTAAAGTGAAAATAAACAAGATCATAAATCATTTTAGATGTAAAAGCAATTTATTTAGGCATTTAAAATACTAAAAATAACTAATTATATGAACTTTTTTTTATTTATTTATATGATATTTACAACCGTATACAAAAAGTACATCTGGTAAATTCGCACATGGATATAAAGACATGAAACACATGTTGAGAAACTACCCATTGGTAGCACTGTAATAATATGTCTATGTTAGGAGATCACGTGGCCATCTTCTTTTCAGACGCCTCGGAGGATTATCAGGAATTGAATAGGAAGCAACGTTAGAAACAAAAGGTTTGGGATGGTTATGAAGTGTATTATGGAAGGACAGATATCTGGATTGGACCAAATCTGATACATAAGGAACATTAAGGTCATTATGGATGATTTTATTTGTAACAAAGTAAGGAGCGTTGAGGATTTTACGAAGGATTTTGGATTGTAAGGATTGGATGCGAGAGGAATTTGAAGGTTTGGTGGAGCCCCATAGCTCAACTCCGTAAGTCCAAATAGGCCTTATTATAGTCATGTAAATTAGTATTTTATAGTTAATTGGAAGGTTAGAGCGTTTGTCTAGTAAGTGTTGAAGTAGTCGGAAACGTCGAGCGGTTTCTTGTCGTTTCAGTCTGGTATGAGGATTCCAAGTTAGACGTTTGTCCAGATGGAGTCCTAGGTAACGGATTTGTTCATAAGGAATAAGTGAGATGTTGTTAAAGGATACTGAAGGACAGGAAGTCATTGGTTTACGACGAAGGGTGAAGGTAATTTGATGGCATTTATTGGAATTTATTTTAATTCTCCAGCTCTGACACCATTCTTCAAGGTTTATGATGTGGGATTGAAGGGTTTGGGATGCAATAGATGGGTCGTTATTAACTGATAGGATACATGTGTCATCAGCATATGTGGTGATGACAGTGTTGGGATGGGTTGGGATGTCAGCTGTATAAGCTAGGATAGGAACTAACTAAAGGATAGGACCTAGGATACTACCTTGAGGAACACCTGCAGACTGGGAAAAGCGGGATATATAGATATTGTTGTGATTTACTTTAAAGTATCTATTAGTAAGGTAAGAACTTATAATGAGAAAGTATGTAGATGGTAGGAATTTTCGGAGTTTGTACAGCAGTCCCGTGTGCCAAACTCTATCAAACGCCTAATTATATAAACTAAATCTTTTCATAATTAAAAAGTTATGAAAAAAGCGTGTTTCAAAAGTACTTGCAGAAGTTCATGTTTTGTTATTACTTATATTATTTTGTTTTGTATTTTAGGGAGATGGCATTCAGGATTCCGGAATCCTAAACATGTATTTTATGAAATATGTTTATTTCTTAAGGTTCTTTAGCTGGATTAAATTGACACCAATACGAAGTGAAATGTCTATTTTGAACATTCTAGAAAAATTTGTTATATCAGATTGGCGTATAAGTGCTTTCGGTATCTGATGAATTAACCCTGAAGGTGGATTGTTTATCCAGTTTGTAATATATCAACAATTATATCTTTTAACTCTCGTTGAAACTTGTTTGCTATGGCACTATGAATATGGAAGAAAATATCCTTCATTGTCGGCATATATTGTTGTATTATTTTAAAAAAGATAAGCATGCTTCAGAAGCTCATAGAAAAATTCGCATTGTTTATGGTGATGATGCCATAACAAAACGCAGTTGTCAAAATTGGTTTGCCAAATTTCATTCAGGATATTTTGACATCAATGATAGTTAACGGTCTAGTCACCCACATGAAATTGAAATGAGCAGTGTTAAGGCCATTGTTGTTCAAAATCCCACCCAATCAGTGCGAGAGATTGCTATGGCGCTAAATGTGTCACACACAAACATAGAAAACCATTTGCACAAGCTATGTTTTTAGGCTTAATGTTTGTGTCACTCACATGATTATTTTTTGAAAATCACAACAAATGTTATAACTTCAATACGACTTCAGCTATCTACAAGAAATTTAGCAGGAATTTAGGGCCCACATAAAGTATACAAAATGTCATGAACAAGACCTTTGAAAACAATCCACAAATGGAGATAAAAAATAAAAAACTATAAGGTGTTTTAGTGTATTTATTCCTTATGTAGCAATTAAATCAAAAACTATTTATAAGGCTTTGAAGAGTAATAATTCAGCTTTCCAACAGATATAGTAACATAGAATTTGGAGAACATTCTGAAGAGTTATGGATGATTGGAAGGGTGTTGTGTTCCACCAAGACAACGCTAGGCCCAGCCCAACACCTCATTGGCTACCCTCAATAAATTATTGAGCCTTAAATGGTACCTTTTGTCCCACTCTTCCTATTCACCAGACCTAGCTCCAAGTGCCTACCACTTATTCCGGTCTCTGGAGAACTCCATGAATGGAAAGAAATTCCAAATGAAACAGGACATCAAAAATTGCTTGGATCAGTTTTTAAAAATAAACTCCAGAAATTCTATGAACATGGCATTATGCAGTTAGTGAAAAGATGGAAAAAAATCATATTAAATAATGTTCAATACATTGTAGATTAAAATAAATTTTATGTCTGTAATACATTGAGTTTTATTTCACCCTGAAAAACTGATAGAACTTATTTGCCAAGCCAATTCTTAAAAAAAAAAAATGAAAAAATATATGGGAAATAGATTGATACTTAAATCTGAATTTCTGGAGGATGTGTTACAATATATATATATATATATATATATATATATATATATATATATATATATATATATATATATATATATATTATTTTATTTTATTTTATTATTTATTATGATATTTACAACTGTATATAAAAATACATCTTGTAAATTTGTAAAATTGACATAATGACATGAAACACTTGTTGAGAAACTACCCACTAGTAGCACTCTCATAATATGTCTACATTAGGAGATCACGGGGCCATCTTATTTTCAGAGGCCTCAGAGAGTTATCGGGAATTGAAGAGGAAGTAAGGTGAGAAACAAGAGCGTTGGGATGTTTATGAAGTTTATCATGGAAGGATAGATATTTGGATTTGGCCAAATCTGAAACATAAGAAACATTAAGTAAGATCATTATGGATGATTTTATTTGTAAAAAAATAGGGAGCATAGAGGATTTTGCTAAGGACTTTGGATTGTAAGGATTGGATAAGAGAGGAATTTGATGGTTTGGTGGAGCCCCTGTTATAATATTAAAAATTATAGTGAGACAGGAACACCAAACCATAGAAAAGGTGTATTGATACCATAAGAGGGTTCTAAAACTTGGTCATAGAAAATAAAACGACCCATCAACCAGTGGTTGGAAATTGGTAGAAATAGTGAAAAACAATGTTCTAAAAGGACGATGAGTAATGTGATTAAGAATTGCAACCTTATCTCAGTTACATACAATGTAGGAAACCCAGAAAAACACCTTTCATCATTGATATCAATTGAAGAAAAGAGTTTGCTGAAAAGTATCTATACAAACTAATAGGATTTCGACATAATGTTCTGTTTAGCGGTTCAAGTAATTTAATATACATCTAGAGAAGTATATGCATATGTCAAAAGCTAAACAAAGAATCTAATCAACTAATTGTTCAGTTAAATGGTTAAAACACAGAGAGAACCAGCCTTTGGGAGTGCATCTCATTTCACAGGATTAGAAAACTTGTTTTGATCAACAATATGTTTAATGCAGAAGATTATTTAATCATTTTGCGCAATAGTATAAAAAAAACAGCAGTCAAGAATCACGGATAAAAAATTCATTGATATTATAAAATGTAAGGATCCTAGGTTTATGGGACATGAGGACAAAGAGTGGACCCTGTAAAGTGCATCCAAAAGCCTTCTTAAATCCAGATACTAATGTAATTACATGTCACATTCCAGAGCATAGGATCCAGAAGTATATCGTTATGTTGTTTATCATCCAGAAGTATATCAAAAATGTTTTAATGAAATTTTGCTCGGAAAGCAGGGTAAAATTGAGCCTGAGTGTTTAAAATATCTTGTTTTATTTATGCCAAAATGCTGGCAAGTAGATATAAATAAAAATGGATTTAATACAGAGCACTGTTTGCTGGAAATGAATTGTATTATTAAAAGAAAATACCTTCGAAATATACTTTTTTCTTTTATATTTATTAATGAAGTGATTTAGCTTTTTAATTGCTAATTTTTATTTTAATAGCTACCTAAATAAAAGAAGATTCTATCAACAAAGTGTTGTGTTCATATACTCTTCCAATTTGAATTTAAATCCAAAATTTACCTAGTACCATTACCCTTGATTTCCATTGTACATAATAGTTGTGTCTTTCTATAATTATTGTTACTAGTCAGAATTGTCTTATGGTAAAATATGAGTGATTATTTTATATTATATACAATGAGATGAAGTCATCAACATTTACTAAACATACATGTACATGATAAGTTATCACATGATTGATGTTCTTCATGTAAATAAATTACAGAATTGGTCATATGTAGTTTATATTTTTCTGAAATGTTTACCTTGGCCAGCACCTGTTACTAAAATCCTTTTGTTATGAAATGATATCTCCATCACTTTCCTTGTTGTTATTTGGGCTTCTTAACACCAACTGAAATCAATCCAAACTAACCTCTTTTATCATATTATGATCCAAGGGCATTTAATCAACTTTCCTTAAAATTTATCTTATGAAACATGAAATGAGATTCAGTATTTTAGTTACTATCTTTAAAAAAAATTACTGGCAGATATTACTAAATTACAGATTGTCTTTATTTTTATATAACATTAAATTTTTATGAAGTATCAGCTCCAGTTATGTTTTTTTAATTATAAAATTTTGGTTAGACTGAATCCAATTTCCAGAAAACAATTTTAGGAAATGGAGATTTCACTTATATTTATGTTATTAATCAAATCTATGTTTTTATTTATCCTGAATTCTTCGTCTCGTTGCAGACATCTTTATAAAATTCAAACTTGGGATGGTTCAAAATACTTTCTTCATATTCAAAGACCATAAGTATAATTAATATAATTATCATGAAGTATAATTTTCTTCAGCTACTTTCTTCAAGGATTACTAACCTTTACTTGGTTTTTAAAATTACCTTAGGTGTATATTTATTTATTTTTTCTCATCTCATGATTAAGACAGTCCATCTGCTGATTGTTGATAATTGTAATTGATATGTGTGGATTAATAAATAAAAGTTTAAAAAAGTGAATTCTTAAAATTGATTAAAAATTGTTATATAAGAAATTGTTATATCTCGCTATATTCAGATGTATTATTTTGAATTATTGTATTATGTGGAGTATTATATTATATTTAGGCATGCAATCAGATGCTTGGCTGTTATCAGGAGATGATGTTGTCACTGAATCCTAATGAATTTTACTTTGTTTAGAAGTTGTAAATGTTTTTCATATTAATTTGTTCATTGCTATCATTATAGCCAACTGTATTTGTATGGGGTATTTCCGGAAAAAAATAAATAAAATTTTTAAAAATATATTTCAAAAAATAAAAATCTATTAGATGCAAATTACATCTTGATTGAAGTGCATTATTATTAGTTTTATGTACACAGAAATATGGAAATTGAAACAAAGAACAGCTTTACCCAAATATTTTGTATTCTATGAAATAATAACAAATGTTATTTTATAAAATTTAAGTGTTACATTCAGGAATATTCTTGTAGGTTTATAGTAATGTCTGATTGTAGGAAATACATTGATAATTCATTGATCGGCTCTTTTAAACCAATGTTGTATTACTATTGAAATACCTTTTACAATAAAAAATAATATTGTTCTTTATACTATACAATGACCTACTGAAGCTAAGCAGTGTAGGATTTAAAGTTTAAAGGCTCCTATGCCCAAGAGATTTTAGACTCCTCTTCCTTCATACTGTCAGTGAAGCGGCTCCTCTCCCTTCATTACTATCTATTAATAATATAAATCAATAAAATAAAACAGAAAAATATATATTAAATGTAGACTTTTCTTTAATGAGAATAGACATTTTCGCTGTTACTAAAACTTGTTTACGTTGTACTCCTCTAGGTCAGGGCCTGGAACGCCTGATGTGTAAATCGAGCCCTAAAGTACTAAGATTTTTAATACTTACTTTGTATTTATTATCTCTCCCATTGAAGAAGAATGTAAATTTAATTTATGTTCCTTTTAAGTTTGTAATTAAACATATTACAGTCAAAAACAATCATCTTGTCCAGTAACATTACCAGGACTATCTATTTTTAAGTCATAAAATATAGACAAATTGATGAACCAAAAGCTTCCATTTTATTTAGCTACTGATTATAGATATTTTGATGTGATTTTTCATGAATTGAAAGTACTTACTTCAAGTAATTATGTAACAATATTTGTATTTTGTAACAGTATTTGTATTTGTTACAGTATTTGTATTTGTAACAGTATTATAATGTGTATAAATTATGAAAAAAAAATTAGATTATCAGTTATTAATATTAAAAGTTATTATTTTGGGTTAGATTTCAAATTAAATCACAAAATGTGTGAATCAAGTCATTTATCATCATATAGTCCAAATGATAAGGCATTTAACCAATAAAATTCAGTGAAATGAAAACGTTTACTCCAACGTTCATTTTGATTTATAAAGATATTTAAAATCTTTTTTATACTTTTTATATCCTTATCTTGATTTGACAAGATCTTACTTTACCTCGATTTTTTAATAACACGAGTTTAAATATTTGATATTCTTTTTGTATTTAAATTTATTAATTTTATATTAGTTTCTTTAAATGGTAGATATTTAACTTTTTAAAACCATTTCTCTTATTTTATGAAAAATACTGCTGATCTTCAAGAAGAATCAGGTACACTGGCGATCTAATTTTAGCTAAAAATATTACAACCTTTAAAAATGTCAAGCCAAGGTAGTGATGTATTATTAAATAATTATATATTTTATATAGGAATATAAACAAATTTTGTTTCTATGTTAATTTTTTTGTTATTAACAAATAAAATTAAAGATAATCATAAATAAGTTTTTTCCACTACCTATATATACCTGTATCTTTAGGTAGAAAAAGTTTGAGGACTCCTACAATAAGAAGATAATGCTAGAAAAAACAATAACTGCACAAATGATATTTACAGCACTTCTATTAATACAGGTAATGATTATTTGTTTTTTTTTTTTAATTCATAAATAATGACATTAATTACATTCATCATAGAAAAATTGAATAGTTTAATTAGCTGTAGCTCCTCCATCAACGCGAAGCATCACACCATTGACCATACTGGAGGCGTCACTTAGCAAGTAAATGATTGCGTTGACCACTTCAATAATATCTGAAAAGTAGAAAAAAAAAATGCATATATTAATGGTCAAGAATATACAATAATGATAACATACTAAATAGGTTTTATAAAGGTTATTACACAATTAAAAAATAAATGAATAAATTATATATATATTAAAATTAAAATGGCTTAATATTATTTACAAAACAATATTAGACTTCATTAATATTCGATGGCGTTACTGGGGCAAACGAGGAAAAAAATCCAAAATCCAATGCCTACTTCTGGAGTTAATTTCTATTGTGTTTTATCCTTAAATAGTCAAAGAATAAAACCCGATTAGCTTGTTCCATACAATTTTTTTTTTTCAAGCTGAAATTACAATTTTCATTGTTGTTATAAGATTACTCTACATTTTGTGATATTATTTTGGGTTTTTTCAGTACATTTGATTGATGTGTGTTTTACTTCTTTTCTGTGCGTATATAGGCGTACCACTTTATAATCATGGTGGTCATTTATAACAGTGGCTGCTTAATAAAAACCATTAAATTAGCAAAAAGCTGTCACATTGAAAAACTAATTTGAAGCTTATAGAAAAGATTATAGAAAAAGCCTTATCCTCGCTTAAGATGGCAGCAATTGATCTATGGGAGTTTTATTATATGTTTACAAAGACTAATACTTTCTTGTTTACTCAAATGGTATTGCTCAATCTCTTCAGTCTCATTTGACATTTTGGACAGTAAATATATTGTCTACTAATAAAGATATATTCCACAGAATTTAGTATCAACTGACCCATTTATTCCTATTTTGCTACCTGAACCTAAAGAGATTTGAGAGGAAAATCCTCCGCACAATAACAGGAGTTATCTGCGATCAGAGTACTAAGACATAGAGAAGAAAGACCAATAAAGAACTGCTTACAGAAACTGATCAATCAATATCCCATGATATGAAGGCATGGAGGTTTAGATGGGTGTGGCATCAGCTCGTAGCAATCCATCTGGAAGTCTCTAAGTAACAATGAATGCCTCAATAGAAGGCAAGAGACCACGTGGAAGGCCAAAAATCAGATGCATAGATAGAATCAACAATGATGCAATAGAGCTGCATGCAGATAATTAGCCCTAGACAGGCAAAGATGGAGCAGGCTTATTAAGGCAGCAAAAGGGTCTGTACAGCCACAGGGTCTGTAATGGCAACAGAAGTAAAGGAAAAAATGGTTTTATAATTATTACCACCAATTTTAAATTTCGTATTAAATAAATTTAATATTTATATACACATTTTAAAATGTTTAATAAATAATTGTTTTTTGCTAAATCTCATTGATTTTTTTTATTATCTGAAGTGAATGAAACCTAAGCACTAATGTTCGCTGGAATATTGTATCTATGCACTTTTAAAATGATAATAAAATAGCACAATTGTTGTTTGTAGAGTAATTTTCCAAATGCACTTTTTCATTAAGAATCGAATGATATCAACTGAAAGTCGGAAAATTCAATTCTTGTTTATAAGGCGGTTTTTCCATAGTATCAAAAAAGAAGAAAGAAGTATATAATAATAATAGACTATTTTTTAGGTGGGCTTTACATCCAACTACCACATGTGATATCGTATACGGGGTGTGGGGGAACTAGAAAAACCACAAAGAAATCAATGTATCTAGTTTGGACCACGGATCTTCGGGTCCGAATTGCAAGTTGTTAGTACTGAGCCGACCTGCTCCCCTATATTTTTTCCAGTATATATTTTCAACCTAAATCGAATGAGACCTACGACAAATCGATGGGATCAGTCATTAAAAAGATATTGATTTTTTTTCGCTTTTTGGTCTTTTGTCCTCGGTGTGCGACGCACTTGTTGCATCCAAGCCTACGCTAGTATAGATCGGCATTCCTCTCTGTTTCCTGCTGCTACTTAACAGTTCCTGACTCTAATTGGTTGTCACCCCGTCCTCCCAGTTATCAATCTTACCAGTGAAGCTTTAGATTAGAGTCCAACTCGTCTTGTGCCAAATAAACACTCCGAAAAGGTTTTATGTGGAATTTCATTTGGTCCCATCCTAGCACCACGGCCCAACGAAGGCTTGAAACATAATTAAGGTGCATACATCTAAATCTCCATACACGACTCTCAATTCGGAACTAATCCTCCTTCTAACCCTACTACCTTCACAAGATCTTGTGCATGTGAGAAATCAAAACTACTTTTTTTTTTTTTAAAGGGATTCTGGGTGATGTATAAAACAGAAAAAAACAAAAACAAAAACTTTATCCCTTCTCATTCGAAGGTTTCTTCGAAGTTTAAAAGTTCCCGCTGAACTAGAGAATTCAACTAGGCCAGCTAGATCTCACCTCATTTGTTTAAATTTTTTGTTGAAAATTTAATCGATTCATAGTAATGATCGATTGTGAGAGAATTTATACCTTCATACCTTCATTTTTATAAATGAATTTTTCATGCCTATAATAAATATTTGTTTCACTCCTTGCCTGCAAATTATTTCCACTCAATTGTTCAAATTTCAAATTTGTGGCCAAGGGCACTAGTGGATCCAGAATTTAATTTTGGGTGGGGCTTCAGCCCGAAAGATTTTTTTTTTTCGTATACATATACATACATATATTTATTATTCGTATACATGCAGTAAAACTTGCTCTTTCCTGCTCATGTTATAGTAGCCATCAATAGAATTATAATGTAGATTACTTTCATTTCACCTTTGTTGTGCAACCGCTTTATTTATAGAGATCGCTTCCTGGCACAAGCGGATCTAGGATTTAATTTTGGGGAGAAGGGGGCTTCAGCCGGAAAGATTTTTTTTTCTTATACATATAACAATAATTAATTTTTAAAAAAAGAAAGAAATTAACTACCTATATGAAATGGTGTTTAAGTGGTTCTCGAAGTCCTATTAAATGTAATTAAACGAACAAGAATATTTAAGAGATAGTTTATCATATTTTTTACTGTAAAACATATTGTACCATTTTGGGGACGGCTTCAACCCAAAAGTCTCCATCCCTCCCTCCCCCGTAGATCCACCTGTGGCCAAGGGTGTATGAACAACAGTTAGTTAAGATGTCTCAAGTATAGTAATGCATTACCTGCGAATTTATGAAGAGGAATCCTATCCAGCATTGCATCAACTTTATCGCGATCCGACCAGATTATTTTAGTTTTTTCAGTTTTAACTACCGTGGGGTTGACACAATTGACCCTAATGCAATATTTTCCCAGTTCCAAGGCCATTACTTTGGTAATAGTGTCTAGAGCTCCTTTTGACCCGCAGTAGACTGTGTGATCATGGAGTGCAATCTGAAATGTTTAACAATTATAAAGAATAAATTTTCTGATTAACATATTCTTCCGGTCCATTTCGCATTTGAAAAATAAATCAAAGAGTAAATTTATATACAAGCAAAACGAAAAGTTAATTTATGATTTCTCAATATCATTGGTGGAGCATATATCATCGTAAATATAAATACGAAATGCATTTATATTTATGTTACCCTATGAATATAAATACAAATATATTAATATTCAAAAAAAGAAATATGAATATAAATAATTCATATTCACGCCTGTAAATAAGGTTATATTCACATCTGCAAATGTTAATATGGCTGTACTCAAGTTTATAGTAATAAATACACTAGTATTCACAGCAGTGAATGGGAATACTTTCACATAATCTTATGAATGGATACTCTAATGATTAGATAAATATTAATTTTTCAACAAATATATAGTTGTATTTAAACCTTTTGCTACTATTAGTGCAAAAGGTCGTACGTAACAAATTTATATTTTTATTCTATTTGTACAAAAACCGACATTTTACCGTCAGCAAATGCTATAAGTAATCTGCTACTCTGCAAAATAATATAGAGAAATAAAAAAAACTGGTACGCGCATCACACAACTTCAGGCACCTTCAGGCATAGGAATATGGTGGCAGGTCGGTTAGTGGATGCGGCCATTGATGAAATAATACACAAGTAAGGAAACTTATTTCAGAGGGTGCCGACATTTCGTTCTACGTGCTGGTGATTGATTGGTCTTCATCAGGGTCTAAGAGTCTTGAAATGTTCGCCCTCCAAAAAGCTTAATATTAAGCCGAAAGATCGACACTAAATAAAATCGATTTTTTTTATTTGTGATATTTATAAGGCAGCGGCGTTAGAATTTATATTATATAGCCATTTAAATTCTAATCCCACTGCCTTATAAAATCTATTTTATTGAGTGTCGATGTTTCGGCTTTAATTAGGTCAAATAGTTACAATTTTAGAAAAAAATGAGCTCGATATTATCACATTCACGATTGACTATTACATTTTGTGTAAATAACCAACTAATAAATATATATAAGTAACTATAAATAATTATTATTGTGTCTGAATATTCCTTTACTTACCAACGAAGCCTGTGAGGAAACGTTTACTATACTGCCACCAATTTTGTTGTCGATCATCCCTTTAGCAACAGCTTGACTGATTAAGATTGGTGCTTTAACGTTAACATCGAATAACCTAAAATAATTAAGTGTATATATATATATATATATATATATATATATATATATATATATATATATATATAATTTTTTCTCTGTATTGTATAAAAAAATTTTAAGTGACTTTCATCTTTTATTTTGAATAGAACTAAATGATCACAGCTAATCTTCTAGAACAGCTCCAATGCTGCGAGAAGACTAATGCGGAAGTCAAAAGAGTGAAGAGGAGTTAAAAATATATATAATTTATTTTATTTTAGTATTAGGAGAGTCGGAGTTCAACTTTTTTAGTTTTGATCTCCTTTGGCGATTATATTACAAGTATACAGCTGTTCATTTAATTACATATGTATTTAGCTCCTGTTACGTTCTACTCTCCTAATACAAAATAAATATTTTAGATTAAAAATTTGTACGGGAAATAGTATTTATCTGGAGGTGGTAGTTCGATTTAACCTAGGTGACAGCAGTTAATATTCGATCCAGACATTTCCCTTCAATAGAATATATTAATTATTATATTATATTGTGATATAATTTTAATTATTACGAAACAGAAAAAGAAGCAAAATAATATAAATAAAAGGCTCAAATTATTGTTGGGCTTATATGAAGCTTGAAAAATTGAATATATAATTATGCTTACATATTGAAAAAAAAAGAATAATTATAATTATATAATAATATGAATTGGCAATAAGGCACGATGTATAATATAGTTTTTAAAGAAATTAAAAATTTGTCCGGACTGTGGTTTCGTTCAGTTTATTTTATGGTGATAAAAATAATAACATCTAAACTATAGAATATATATAAGGAATATGAATAAGGAATATGATATTAATAATAAATTCTCTCAAGTCATTTCATGGATTTGTAAAGAAAATAGATATATATAATAAATAAATGGAAGATTATTCCTTAAAAATAATAATAATTACTTACGACATTTCAGCTACTAAACACATAGTTACTGATAAATATTGATAATAAGGTTTATAATATATGGTTATAATATAAAGGCTATAATATATATATTATATTTTAAGGACCTTACAATTTTTTAAGATATTAAGTATATATATATACATTTTGTCTCGAGAGTAAAAGAAATTTTTATAGGAGTGATATCAGACCTATAAAAAAAGTTCAAATAAACAATGGGTTGAAACCATTTAAAGAGAACTTTTGAGAGGCTAAACTTGCTTACTACAATACATAGGCATGTGTGTGTGTGTGTGTGTATACGGTAACATTGACCTTTTTTTTTATGATTTTTTTTCTTTGTTTTGTAGAGATTTCATTAATCTTTCAAATAATCATGGATAAAATGATATAAAAAATCACAAAAAAATGTATACTTAAAAGTTATACTAAAAACGTTATTTCGGGGTATGTTACTATGATTTGTCACTTCTCCATGTAATATCCTTTCGTTTGCCTCGTTCATCAAACGATTGCTTCATTCATTCAAAATCATAAACTTGGATGTTTTAATAAAAATTATCTTCTTATAGAAGATCGCTTCTGAGAGATGGTAAAGTGATCTTCACTACGAAAAACTACTGTATTATATATATATATATATATATATATATATATATATATATATATATATATATATATATATATATATATATATATGTACAAAGATAGATAAAAAAATATATAATTTACTTGTCAAAACACTTAGGTGTTACTTCCAAAAATGGTTGAAGAAAATTGCTCCCAGCGTTATTAACCAAACCATGAAATGGGCCGTGCTCCTCGATCAAGCACGTCACTTGTTCAGTATCTGTTACATCAGCCGCAATCGTAGTGACTTCAGGGACTTCTTTTTTTAACGAATTCAAGTGTTTTGCAGTCCGTGAGAGAGCTACTACTTCTGCATGACACTCGGTCAGCTTCTTAGCTAAACACCTTCCTATCCCTACAAATAAAAGATAAATGCGCCCTTTTATGTACTTTCATCTTTTTAGACTTCTAGATAAGAAAAATCTAAAACCAACATAGGCAATGAAGATATAGGAGTGGCTGTAACAGATTAGGGAAAAAATAATCGAATGGTCGTAATCTCCAAAATATATTAATTTTTATTTAAAAGATACATACATATGTCAAAATATATTTACTATCTACAATAGTAATGAGCAAGCATCACATGATTAGGAATACATATGATGTCAAGGAGAACTTAAAAAAAACACTTTATTCAGAAATATTACAATTTGTCACAGTTTAGGACAATTATAATAGAGTTCAGAGATTGCATTCATACCGTATATACAAAAATATAAATAAATAAAGTAATAACAAAAGAATAAGAAGAAAGAACAAAAGAGTAAAGAAAAAAAAATAATATATATACACATAAATAAATAAAAATAGAAATAAAAGTAAAACAAACACTTTATATAAAACATACATTATTTACAATTTGCCAGGTGATCTCCGAACCAATCCTGTCCCCTCCACATGTGGAGGGAAAAGGGAGGCTTAGGAGATCCCTACGCTTCTCCCTCAGCCACTTCACTGGTATTTTAAACCAGCGGAGGATGAGTAAGAGCGCTACAGCCACAGACACTCATGACTTGAGTGGAGAATCTGGCCATTGCTAGAACTCCAAAATATCCATATTTACAAAAGGTCTTGTGGCCACTGCCGCTTTAACCTACGAAGGGGATTGTAGGGATGGGTGGTGCTTGATAGGGATTGTACAACGGGATTTGGGTGATGAGAAAGGTTCTGGTGAAATTTGGAAAATTTGACTGGGATAAGATCAAGAATAAATGGGATATTAAGGTCATGATGTAGGGTTTTATTGGTTACATAGAAGGGAGCATTGACTATTGTACGGAGGACTTTAGACTGAAAGGATTGAATGCGTTTGATGTTAGAAAATTTGGCTGTTCCCCATAGTTCTAGTCCGTAAGTCCAGATGGGTTTCAGTATTGTCTTGTAGATCAGTAATTTGTTTTCACCAGAAAGTTTAGATTTTCTATTCAGTAGTCTATATAGCTGGCCATATCGTCTGTTAAGTTCCTGTCTTTTAAGTCGAGTATGTGGATTCCATGTTAGTCGTCTGTCTAAGAGAAAGCCAAGATACCGGACTGTATCTGAGAAAGGAAGCTGGATGGAGTTAAAATAAACTGGTGGGCAGGTATTACGCCGAAGGGTGAAGGTAATGTGTTTACATTTAGATTCGTTTATCTTAATGCGCCATTTCTTACACCAGTGTTCAATCAGGAAGAGGTGCCTTTATAAGTTTGCGGACGCTGTTTCAGGATCTGAGTTGGAAGAAAGGATAGCAGTGTCATCAGCGAAAGTTGCCAGGAGGGTATCGGGATGGACAGGAATATCAGCGGTAAAGAGAATGTAAAGGATGGGGCCCAAGACGCTGCCTTGAGGAACGCCAGCCTCAATTGAGTAACAGTCGGAGAATTCGGTGCCACAGCGAACTCGGAAGGAGCGGTCGGAAAGATAGGATCGGAGTACTAGGTATAAGGACTGTGGTAGATGGATTTTAAGCTTGAAGAGTAATCCGGCGTGCCATACCCGGTCAAAAGCTTGCGCTATGTCCAGAAATGCACCCGAGCAATACTGCTTGCTTTCTAGGGTTGAGGATATATGGTCAACAACTCGGAGTCCTTGCTGGACAGTGGAATGTTGGGAACGAAATCCGAATTGATGAGTAGGAAGGTTATAGGATTCAATTATAGGTAGGATTCGTTTCAGTAGGATCTTTTCAAAAATTTTTGAGAGGATTGGGAGTAGGCTAATTGGTCTATAGGATGCTGTATTGTTGGAAGGTTTGCCTGGTTTCAAGAAGAGGACGATGGTGGAATGTTTCCATAAAAGAGGGAAGTGGGTAGTTCGTAGGATGCAATTGTATATATATGTAAGAAATATGATGGCTTTAGATGGAAGTTGTCGAAGGATCTGTGGGGTTAGAAGGTCATATCCAGGAGATTTGCGAGGTGTGATTTTCCGTAAAAGGTATTTGACCTCAGAGGGATTAACAGCTTTAGGTGGTAAGGAGAGTGGGATAGGTATTGAGAGGGATTCTTCTACTTTTACTGTGTGGCTGGGATGGGATTCTGGATGAGGAGCGAAAGTATAGGAAAGGTGTTTGGCAAATTCCTCGGCTTTATCTTCATCAGATGCTGCCCAGGAGCCATCATCTCGTCGAAGAGGGTGGGAAATATGATGGGATTTGAGGATTTTTCTGGTGATATTCCAAAGGGAATTATCATGAGCAGAGAGTGTGGTGAGGTAGGAATTGAATGATTGGGATCTGAAGGTGGCTAATTCTTTTTTTAATTTTTTACAGTGATAATTGTAGGAGTGGCGGTCGGCTGGATGTCTGGTACGTTGCCATAATAATCTGGCACGGCGTTTTATGTGGATTAGGTCAAGGAGGTGTTGAGGTAAATTATGTTTCTTAAGGATTTTTGAGGAGTGATCAGGGGAGGAAGCAGTCCAGACTGCTTCTTGAATTTTGGTAGTGAAGGAATGTACTGCATTGTCCAGGTCTTCAGAGGTTTTCAGGGTTACTCTGAGGTCAATTTTATCGGAGAGGATTTGATGAAAGAGTTTCCAGTTAACTGGGCCTCTGATGAAGGACGGAGGAGAGGGTTTAGGAATAGGAGCTAGTGATACTTGGAGTATTAATGGGCTGTGGTCTGAGGAAAGCTCGTCAAGACGGGCAACGGAATGGTTGAGAGCACCTAAACCATTATGGATAAAGAAATCGAGGATATCGGGATTACGGTTAGGATCAGTGGGCCAGTAGGTAGCTGAGTTGGGTGGAAGAAGGGTAAAATTTTGGGAATTGAGTACAGACAGCAATGTTCGACCACGAGAATTCGTGGTTCTTGAACCCCATTGTTGATGCTTGGCGTTTAAGTCTGCACCCAAGATGAAATGATGTCCTAAGGAAATGAGAAAGGAACTAAATTGGATATTGGAGATGGATTGGTTTGGAGGGCAATACGCTGATGCAACGGTAATAGGAAAGGAGAAGGTTTTGATTACGACTGCGGTGGATTGTAGGAAATCGTGTGTAGGCAGTGGGAGTAGGTGATGGGAGAGGGATTGGTGCACAATGACTGCAGTACCGGCATGTGCTCTACCGTCAGGATGGTCGGTACGGTAAGTTATGTATTGTGGTATTTTTAGGAGCTGTTTTTTAGTCAGCCGAGTTTCCGTTATTAGGGCTACGTCAACGTTCTTGTCTTGTAGTAATAAGGCTGTTAGTTCGTGTAGGTGATTTCTAACACCATTCGCATTCCAAAGGAGAATGGATATGGGTTTGATGGAAGTCATTTAAGGATTTTTTAAAGGAGGGATAAGGTGAGATACTAGGTTAGTGAGAAGTGATATCAGTGGGGTAACAAGGGATTTAAATTCTGAAAGAAAGGATGTCAATAAGCTGGTTAGATCTGTAGCATTAGGCGGTGGAGGAACATATTGGATTTGATGTTGGTGAGGTTGTTGTTGATTAGGTACATTAGGTGGGATAGGATATTGAGATTGGGGTTGAGTTTGTTCTTGCGGCAGGGCCTCACATACATTAGTCGGGTCTCTACCCCCAAGTAGCTTGGCAAAAGAAACCTTAGAGTTCACAATTTTAGCGGGTCCTCTTCTTGGTTTAGGTGTATCATCAGGGTCCCTGGGTTTCGTATATCTCGCTTTAAGATTTTTATAAATTTGGCAGCCTTTGTAGTTGGCTGGATGGCCTTCCAGGCATAGGGCACAGACTGCTGGTTCTGTAATTGGTTTATTACACTCGCCAGACTTGTGTGTTTTACCACATTTCACGCAGCGTGGTAAGTGATGGCAATAAGACTTGGTGTGGCCATATGCTTGGCAATTATGGCACTGGATGAACTCTCTTTTTGGGTACGGTTTTTCGACCTTTACGCTGGTGTAGAAAATTCTATTCACATCGTATATTTTCTCGATCCCAGGCGATGGCTCTAGATCGACGAAAAATAAGGGCAATGGGATTTTATTCTTTACACCTGGTTGTTCTTTATTTTCTTTTAAAACATTGGTTATCTGACGTATTTTGAACCCTAACGCCGTCACTTCTATTGGGGTTGAGGAGTGTAAATTTCTTATTACAACTCGTAGTGCTCTTTCCTGTTTCATCTGGTATGTGTGAAAGTCCGCATTTGTATCTGTTAAATATTTTACGATTTTTCGGTACGCTTCAGGTGTGGCCGGTATTATTTTTGTATCATTTATTCTGTTTAGGCATGTATAGCTACCTGGGCAGATTTTATTAAGTTGAGTACACAACAACTGGAAATTTCTCATATTTTGGACAAAGATAAGAGGTGGGCGTGGTTCTCGAGGTATAGGTGCATCTTCCATTTCTTCCCTGTCATTTTCAAGCACCTGGTATGGATTAGGTGTAAAAAATGGAGATTCCATTTCTTGTGAAGACGTACTTGGCAGTGGTTGAGACACAGATACTTGAGTGTTCGCTGGAGGAGTTCCGGGGGGTGTTAATCGCTTACTACGACGTGTTTTCTGTTTAGGCGGTGAATTACGTGGGGTAGAGCCAACTGAATGGGACCTCTTAGTTGACATTACTTGGTGGTAATATCGCATATAAAAAAAAAAAAAAGAAAGGGAAAAAAAAATAAATAAATAAAACTACGTCTGCGTGTTATTACAATGGATGAACCGCCGGCTGAGAACCAGCCAGTTACGTGGCAGGGCCACAACTGGAGAGGGGAGCCGTCAGCTGTTATGGCTATAGAGATTAAGCCTATAGACGCTAAATCACTAAATTCACTGTCTGTAATAGTACACAGTAAATAACAACACTACTCACTGTGGTGTTAGTCCATTGTTGTTGTTTTGATGTCTGCTTAACTAGTTTTTTAAAAAAAAAAGTAAAACTGAGCACTTATTCTACTA